TTCACTTGCTTTTGTTTGGGTGGTTTGGTTTGTTCGCGTAAATGGTTTGTTTGCTTTTTTGGGTGTGTATTTTTGGTTAGTTTGTTTACATGTGTATTAGTTTGTGTTTTTTGCTTAAGTTTGTTTATTTGCTTGTTTTTGTTTGGGTGGATTGGTTTGTTTCCATAAATTTGTTAGTTCGCTTTTTTGGGGGTGTTTTTAGGTTAGTTTGTTTACATATGTATTGGTTTGTGTTTGTTTGCTTAAGTTTGTTTATTCGCTTGTTTTTGTTTGGGTGGACTGGTTTCTTTCCGTAAATTTGTCAGTTCGCTTTTTTGGGGGTGTTTTTTGGTTAGTTTGTTAACATGTGTATGTTTGTGTTGGTTTGCTTAAGTTTGTTTATTCGCTTGTTTTTGTTTGGGTGGTTTGGTTTGTTCCCGTAAATTGGTTTGTTTGCTTTTTTGGGGATGTATTTTTGGTTGTTTGTTTACATGTGTATTAGATTGTGTTTGTTTGCTTAAGTTTCTTTATTCACTTGTTTTTGTTTGGGTGGTTTGGTTTGTTCCCGTAAATTGGTTTGTTTGCTTTTTTGGGGGTGTATTTTTGGTTAGTTTGTTTACATGTGTATTAGTTTGTGTTTGTTTCTTAAGTTTGTTTATTTGCTTGTTTTTATTTAGGAGGATTGGTTTGTTTCCGTAAATTTGTCAGTTCGCTTTTTTGGGGGTGTTTTTTAGGTTAGTTTGTTTACATATGTATTGCTTTGTGTTTGTTTGCTTATGTTTGTTTATTCACTTGCTTTTGTTTGGGTGGTTTGGTTTGTTTCCGTAAATTTGTCAGTTCGCTTTTTTGGGGTGTTTTGTGGCTAGTTTTGTTTACATGTGTATTAGTTTGTGTTTGTTTGCTTAAGTTTGTTTATTCACTTGCTTTTGTTTGGGTGGTTTGGTTTGTTCCCGTAAATTGGTTTGTTTCCTTTTTTGGGGGTGTTTTGTGGCTAGTTTTGTTTACACATGTATTGGTTTGTATTTGTTTGCTTAGTTTGTTTATTCGCTTGTTTTTGTTTGGGTGGATTGGTTTGTTTCCGTAAATTTGTATGTTTGCTTTCAGTTAGTGGCTCCTCGATCTTGAAAGGACTTTTCATGAAGAATGGGCGTGAGTTTTTTATCCAGCAGAGACATTTCCAGACTGGTAGAATGTATGCCGAGGGGTATTCGAGATTTAATTACCGCAAGAGGAGGAAATAAACGATATTACAATGTTAATGAAAAATCTAAAATAAAATAAAAACAAATTTTATCTGTCCTTTTTTTCATTTTCCTTAGCAATTTACATTTTTTTAACTGTTTTAGACAAAGACTCAATTATTAAACCTTAAAATCGTAAAACTTGATTAATATATAAAAATATATAAAAATATATACAAATCAAGTTATATTACAAGTGGGTGGAATTTTTTTCCTGCCCTAAGCAACAATTTTAAGTCACCTTACACATGGCGTTATGTAAACCGTGAACAATGTTTTGTGTAATTTCTTCGTGAGGGATTGTTAAAGAAGTCAGACAGAAAACGGCAAAATTTATATGGGCTATTGGAAGATGAAAACATTATAATCATTGTTCATGAACAGATTTGTTCAATTTGTTGTTGTTGCGTTCAACGTAACCTCGAATTAATTCTAATGTTTTGAACAGGGTTCCAACCCGCCCGGACTTTTTTTCACCCGACCGTGTGAGGAGATTCGACCGAAACTACACACTTTCGCGTTGAAAATTCAATATTCGTTTCATGCCGAGGGGTTGATTTTGTCATCTATTCCCCATTTGGCTCAAGAGGATCATAATTGGGCCAGGAAATTAAAATGGATTGAACATGGGAAGAGGGGGCTTCGTACTGTAAAGCCCCTCTTCAAGCAGGCTACAAAAGGTTGCGTACTGGGAAATTTAAAAGGTGAAATAAACTTCGGGAAAAAACTGAATTATTTAACGTTCTTATTCGCCACCCTGCCATTTGATGGCGGAAAATCGTTGATTAGTAGATCCTCGAGAAATGTGAACCATCACAGCCCGAGGGTGTTCATAATCGACCCAGGAAATCAAATTGAACTTATAAAGATGGCGCTCGAAAACCGAAGACTTCCGTCAATAATGTTGCCAAAATCAGTTGGATTTTAGTGCCTTGATGAAATCTCATGATATGATGATACGAAAATGAGAGGCAAAAAAGTGGCCACCCTCGTGTTTTTAGTAGATATATGCAATAGTTGGTATCTAAAGAAGACCCTTCGGACCTTCTAGTGTCAAGCACCCTGGCGACATACGCCTGACTTCTTCCATCTTCCAACAATGCTATGATTCTAGCTGATTTCTGTATTAAACCATCATTCAAACAAATTTGGAACTTACGAATAGAACGTTAGAAAGTTTTACAGAAAAACCAACAAAAAAGAGATTTTGTAAAAAAAAGTGAGATAATTTATGTTTTATTCACTTCTAATCCTTTAAAACGCACCGAATATTATTGTCAGATAATCAATGGAGGATTGTCTAAGAGATAATTAAAAATATTAAAGGAGGCCATTTTGCCTATCAGTGTTGTTGAACACATTGTAACACAAAGCAATTTTTAAAAAATCAGTTTAGTTGTTAGAAAAGTCGTAGTTGTGCGTATGTTTTTAGACCATCGGTTTCTTTTCACATTTAGTTTGTGTGTATGTATAAGTGGTTTTGTATGATTGTTTATTTGTGTGTTTATGTGTTGTAGTTTATTTGAGTTAGTCCGTCGTGTGTATGTTTGTTTATGACGGTGTATTTGTTTGTTTTGAGGAGTTTGTTTGAAAGCGGGGGATTTTTGTTCGCTTGCTCTTTAGTCTGGGTGAGTTTGTTTGTTTGCCTGTTTTTGTTGTTCAGTTTGAATATTTGCTTGTCTTTGTGGGATTGTTGGTATTGGTTATTTTCTTTACGTGTTTATTAGCAGTATGTGTTTGTATTTCTTTCTCTGAGTTTGTTCCTGTGTGCTTTATTTGTTTACTTTTTTTTGGGGGGAGGGGGAGTTGAGTTTGTCAGTATTGGATAGTTGGTTTCGACGTGTACTAGGTTGTGTTTGTTTGGGTCAATTTGAGTGAGTTTATTGAGTGAGTTGTATTCGTTAGTTTGTTTACGTGGGCATTAGTATTTGTTTGTACTTGTTTCTCTGAGTTTGTTTGTTCCCGTGTGCATTTGTCTGTTTACGTGAGCTTGGGTTTGCTGTTCACACCGTGAGTTTATTTATTTGCGATAGTTTGTGTTTTTGCTTTGTTGTAGGGAGGGTTTTTTATTTGCGTGAGTTTGTGCATTTGTTTTTTTATGGAGGGGGATTTCTTTTGGAAGTTGAATTTGTCAGTACAGTTGGATAGTTTGTTTCCATGTGCATTAGGTTCGGTTTGTTCGTATTTGTTTGTTACTGTATGGGTGAGTTTATTGAGTGAGTTATATTCGTTAGTTTGTTTATGTGGGTATTAGTCTGTGTTTGGTTTTATGTTTCTATAAGTTTGTTTGTTCCTGTGTGCGTGTTTGTTTAGGTGAGTTTGTATGTTCATTTACGTGAGTTTGATAGTTTGCTTTTTTGGGAGGCGATTTTTTTCTTTCTTTTTTTCTTTTTCAAAAGTTTTGTTTGTCATTTTGGATAGTTTGTTTCCATGTGTATTAGGTTGTGTTTGTTTGTATTTGTTTGTTAGCGTTTGAGTAAGTCTTTTGAGTGAGTTGTATTAGTTAGTTTGTTTATGTGGGTATTAGTGTTTGCTTTTATGTTTCTATGAGTTTGTTTGTTCCTTTGTGCGCGTTTGTTTAGGTGCGTTTATGTGTGTGCTTTTTGAAGGGTGAGTATGTTTATTTTGCTTTTTTGCGAGTGTTTTTTTTTTCTTTTTTTCTTCGAAAGTTGAGTTTTTCATTATTGGATAGTTCGTTTCCATGTGTATTAGGTTGTGTTTGTTTGTATTTGTTTGTTATCGTTTGAGTAAGTCTTTTCAGTGAGTTGTGTTATATATGTTGTATTACATGTTATATATATTATTACTGTAGGGATATTTAGGAAATTGGCAGGAGGAGAGGAAGAAGGTTAAAAAGGAGGGAGAGAAAAGAGGAATTGTAAGAGTAAGACTAACTGAATAAAAACATTAAATAAATACGTGTGTAAAATTACTAGTATCATGTCCCAGTGATGAACTATTAATAGTGTCTCAACAATTACAAGTTGTATTCGTTAGTTTGTTTACGAGGATTAGTTTGTGTTGCTTTATGTTTATCTGAGTTTGTTTTTTCTTGTGTGCGTTTGATTTTGGTGAAAATTTTTATGAGGATATTTCATTTACGGTGTTGTATGAACCCTCTGGGTGTCGGTGTTAAAAAAAAACTGTTCCCCTGCATTCGAACTCGGGACCTTTACCTTACAGTGATGAGCGCCGTATCACCGTATCAACGTCTTAAAAATGTAGTTGATGATGATGGGTGTAAATTCCGGAACGACCAAATAAATCTTTAAATATGTAATGATTTTACTTTTTTTTAATTGTTTTTTTAACCAAAACAAAAAATTTAATAATGAATTAATTGTGGTGGAATGTAAGATTGTATGAGTCGCCATCTAGAAACGCAAATCATAACTAAAATCACGTGCCGCTAGGTGGCGGTAATAACTTTTCATCTTTTACATATATTATTTTGATTTGAATTTAATATATATAACTGTTTAATATTGAATATAATTAAGAACTATTACAAATAATTTAATTAATTTTCACATTTTTATTTTCTTTTTTGCAGATATAGGGCTAATATATCGACAAGTTGTGAGTCCTAGTTGTTTAAGTACACTTAGTGTCGGTTTGGAAGATACTTGGTGTCTGTTTATAAGAATAATTTTGTGTTTTACAGCGAGAACAGGCGGACCCAACAGAATTGATGTAAAATAAGAATAAACTTACTTTTTCTCTTTTTTTGTTCGTTGATTGAGGGCGGTACGGTAGGCGAGTCTTATCGTGCTGAAAGCCGATCGATAACCGCCGAAGAAGGTTACGTTGTTTACCTCCCGTCTAGTTTCGAAAAGTGGATCGTTTCGTCCCGAACCCCGTTTAAATTTTACATTTAAAATTTAAATAAATTTTAAAATAACCCCTGTGTGAAGTCTTCCGGGCGAGGATGGAAGACCAAGTCTGCCCGAGATGCAGGACGACAAAGTACAGAAACCCGAGCCTCAAGCTCATGGTGAACGTGTGCGGACACTCGTTGTGCGAAAGCTGCGTGGACCTGTTGTTTCTGAAAGGTTGATTCTTTTATTGTAAAGACTTCATTTTCTTTCTTCTTGATTGACATAATGTTTACCTCGCGCATCACATAAAATTATGTCACAACCAGAGCACAATTTTTATCAAAAATATAAAACAGACACGAAATTAAAGAACCGATTGAATGTGGACTTTGAAACACTCCTATTCGGGTTCAACCTGCAACTGGCAAATTTGGCAACAAAGTTTGATTAAATTATTTTATGTTTTGTTATTTATGGAATTGTTGCAAAATATTTTCAAATAAAAGCCCAAGGTGGAAATGGAAAGAATATTTTTGCAAACAGGGTTCAGATTTACAGACGTATAAGTCGGTACAACTGCAACTAACCAATTCAACAACTCAACTTGAACCCTTTTTTAAAATCCTTTATTTTAATTATTATTTTAAGAAATATACAGAATTAATATTTTAAAAACCTCATTGTTTAAATAAAACCTTAAGTTATAATTATAAAATAATTTTTTGCAAAGATAAAGAAAGCAATGCTTATAAACAATTGGTAAACCTGTAACCGCCATATTTGTCTTTTAAAAAAATATTTAAACTAATTAATTATTTTTAGTTAATACATAGAATTTACTTTTCAAATAAAAGCTCAAGGTAAAAATGAGAAGAATATTTTTGCAAAGAGGCTTCAGATTTATAGCCGTACAAGTCGGTACACATGAAACTGCCCAATTCAACAACTCAACTTCAGAAGTTGTTTAAAACCCTTTATTTTATTTGAAGTAATGCACAGAATTAATATTGCAAAAACGTCATTTTTTAAATAAATGCTTAAGTTATAATTATAAAATAAACTTTTGCAAAGATCAAGAAGCAGATCGATGCTTACAAGCAATTGGTAAGCCTGTAACCGCCAAATTTATCTTTAAAAACATATTTAAAGTAATTAACTATTTTTAATTAATACATGGAATTGATATTAATATTTTCAAATAAAAGCACAAAGTGGAAATGAAAAGTGTACTTTTGCAGAGGGTTCAGATTCATAAACTGAACAAGCCAGTACACCTGCAACTCCCAGTTCAATAACCCAACTTCAAAAAGTTGTTTAAAACCCTTGATTTTGATTATTATTTTAAGTAATACACAGAATTAATATTGCAAAAACATCATTTTTTAAATAAAAGCTTGTTCTATTTAAAAAATAAACTTTTGCAAAGATCAAGAAAGTAGATCGATGTTTCCCAAACAATTAGTTAACCTGTAACTGCCATATTTATCTTTAAAACTATTTAAACAGATTTCTTTTAATTACTATATGGAATTGGTATTGCAATCCAATCCATCCCTAACCATTACGAGCAGTTGGTACACTACATTTTCACTGCCGAATCATCATTTTAAAAAAAAATTCTTTTTTTAATTTACCATCAGTCTTGAATAATATAATTGTAAAATTTAGGAACATGAGAAATCCATACTTGCAATTCAGTCAAATAATAAATAGTTGGTACACCTGTCATGGAAGTTAAGATTTGACAAATATGGTTCACAATATTTAAAATTTTATTACTTATCTTTTTATATTTTTTAAATTAAATATATGTTAATACATAATGCATACTTTTGTGTGTGCGCGCATGTGTGTGTGTGAACATATTTTGTTTTGTAATAATAATTGACCATATTTTCAGGATCTGGATCTTGTCCCGAGTGCCAGGTGCCGTTGAGAAGGAGCAATTTCAGGGTGCAGCTCTTTGAAGACCCGAACGTCGAGAAGGAAGTTGACATAAGGAAGAAGGTTCTGAGAGACTACAACAAGAAAGAGGAGGATTTCGCAACCCTCGAAGAGTACAACGACTACCTTGAGGAAGTCGAGGACATCATATACAATCTGACCAATGGTATAAACACAGCAGAGGTGCAGAAGAAAATAGACCAATACAAAAGGGAGAACAGAGATATCATATTGAAGAACAAAATGAAAATCGGGAGAGGGGAGCTTGAACTGGAAGAGCTGCTGGAAGTCGAAAAGCAGATGAGCCAGTCGAGAAAGTTCGACGTTTTAAAAGAAGAGATGGAGACTAAAAGAAAAAAGCTCAGAGCTAAAGAAGCTCTGATAGATGAGCTTATGTTCTCGCACGAAGATGCTAAAGACATAATCAAGACGTTTCAAAATGGTCTGGAAGAAGAGTTCAAAGAGAACCCGGCTATTCCGGAGAAGGCGAGCCACTTTTCAACAGGTATCAAATTCACAAAGGGCCAAGGCTTCCTGCCCGTCAAGTACGAGGAGGGGCCGCTTTTCATCTATGAAGAGCCTGAGTTCATTTCGGATGGGCCGATGCCGCCCAGGTGGCAAGATCTGAATGGTCGTTACCTCAAGCACGTTAGAGAAGCGAACATAGATGAACTCGCAGGCGGGTACACGTCTAACATAAGCTGCATGCGCGCCCTACAAGAAGCTGTCGTCGGACTTTATTTCAAGAACACGTGACAGTGGGGGACGATTCCCTGGGGGCAGAACATTTGGGGCGACAGCCTTTACTAGTCCCGTGAACCGTTCTGGGCGAAAAAAAAAATCACCCTAAATACTTACTAAAAAGGACTGTCAAACCTCTATAGTAAATTATAAGTAAAAATGTAAATAAATTGTATTAAACTCTGTGATAAAGACTTATTTAAGATAACGTTAATGTTGGTTCATTTGTACATTTATCTTTCTTGTTGTACAATGTTCGATATATAGAAAAATAAAATTGTCAGCTTATTTATGATAAGCTAAATAAATCTTTTAAAAACAAAAACCTTCAAACATAAAGTTTTAACAGCACATTAAACTTTATATTCCTAAATTTATTATTAGTATTTCCCTGTACCTTTTTGTGACATGCCAAAAAACATGCATAAGGTTTTTAGTTGAGATAAAAAAGTCAATGGCACGAGCGGGATTCGAACCCACGATCTTCGGCTAGATACGCCGCTGCTCTACCACTTGAGCTATCGTGACCTCGATCCACTCGGACACTAACTTCCCATCTCAACCCCACCTTTTGAATTTTCCCTCCTTTTTTGCCATTTTTCAAATGTCGTGTAATCGGATTGGATTCTCGACGACAAATGAAATGGCCATCGAGAGCTTTAGTGAAGTATACTTCATTTTAAATCATTAAATTCACTAATTTTCTCTCCTTTTTGCCATTTTTCAAATGTTTTTATCTCAACTAAAAACCTTAATTAATTGTAATATATTAATTGGTCAAGCGGACCATGAAATTAGTGAACATGCATAAGTCTGGATTAAAAAGCCATCCATTCATTGAGGGTGTAGCCCAGGACAGGCATGTGCAAAAGTTCATCAAAGGCCATCGCAAAAACAACGGCACAACTACTAAATCTAGGAGTATAATAATTGCATAATGGTTTGACTGCTGACTCCAAAGGATTTTGTACTCAGCAGATATTGCCATGAGGAATGCCTTTGTTGCGAAGGCTAAAGTCCCGGCCTGAAGCATAAACATGGCAGTTCTTGAAAAAGCTTCGGTATCGAGTAAAAGCCCTTAATGATCTACGTAATACTGGAAGTTGCACAATAGATCTATACTGGTCGTGGTGTGCACGTCATAAAGAAGCAGACTCCTATTCTAATCTCTCGAAAATAAACAGCTTCTTTATAACACCTTAGTGAAGCCGATATGGACAGACTGGAAGTATGGTGTACAGACAAAGAACCTATGTATACATTATAATTAATTAAGGTATTTAGTTGAGATATAAAAGTCAATGGCACGAGCGAGATTCGAACCCACGATCTTCGGCTTGATACGCCGCTGCTCTACCACTTGAGCTATCGTGACCTCGATCCACTCGGACACCTACTTCCCATCTCAACCACACCTTTTGAATTTTCCCTCCTTTTTGCCATTTTTCAAAATGGAAAATTAAAAACGAAACCTTAATTAATTATAATATATTAATTGGTCAAGCGGACCACGAAATTAGTGAATCTATGTAATACAGAGGATATCATTTACAACAACACCGTATAGCACATAACATCCAAATATGTGGCACCATGAAATGGTATAGGAAAAATTATTATTATATATGAGATTAACACTGTTTAGGGCAAAAATCTCAAAACAAAATCAATTAATTCTTTACAAACATGTAAAAAATTGTGATAATACACTTTACTAAAAGTGAAAGAATGTGAATGTAGAAGGAATTTTGTATGCATTAAAGAATGGAAGAATGGGCCAAAGGAAAACCACTAAAGGCCAACTCCTATTGGTATACAGACGGCTCCAAAACCGACAAGGGTACACGAACTGGAGTCTTCGGGATGAACCCAAAGACCGAAATGATGGTAAACCTAGGTAAATATGCTAGTTTTCCAGTCTAAAATCATAATGGATTAAGAAATAATAAGGTTAGGAATATATTCCCAGAAGATAGCCATTTTCTCTGAGAGTCAGGCAGCATTAAGGGCTCATTCGAGGCAAAGGCAAACTGCATGGAGGCCCTGAAGGAAGTCAGTAACACTAACGACCTGGACATTCGGGGCATAGAGGCAACGAAAAGCTTGACATATTGGCCAAAAAGGGGTCCAACATGGACTCTACGGGCCCAGAACCCTACTGCAGATTAGCAACATGCCACAAAAGAGGATACATTTTAAAATGGATCTTAATGATCCCATGGTGGAATACCACGGGTATGAGTCATGCGAGGAGATTCGTAGAAGGACCATACGTAAAACTTACAAAAGAACTACTGGAAGGGAACTGCAACCGAACCAGGATTCTGGTTGAACTCCTGACAGGATATGCCACTTAAGAAAGCACATGCACCGGATAAGAGTACAAACAGAAGAACTGTGCAGATACACCCAGGAAGAGGAGGAGACCACAGAACATTCTACGTTTCTGTGTGAGGTATAACATATCGTCATTTCTATTCCTAGAGAACTGATTAAAGGCACTTGCAGCGTATTGTACATTACATTCGATGATTTTGGACCTCCCTTTGTATAACCATATACAAACCACTGTTGATTAATATTTTCTTTGGTGATTGATCAGCCTTCTCAGTTTAAATATATTTTTTTCCTTTCCAAAAGGTAGATTGGGTATGAGGCCAGGAAGACAGAAACAACATTTATTTTCTTGTCAAACTTCTTGACAAAAAAATAAATGTTGTTTCTGTCTTCCTGGCCTCATCCCCAATCTACCTTTTGGGAAGGAAAAAAATATACACATACAAACCGGTTACAACGTACAAAAACCTGCGGTCCTTTCATGTGCATTGTAAATGATATCCACTGTAAGTGTAAAAATACAAAAAGCAATCCAACATATGTGTTGGGGGTTAATCGGGAATTCTTTAATTTTTTGTCTATTTTTAGGTTATTTTTAATTTAATAATTTGCTGGAAACCAGAGTGAATTTTATAGTCTATGTATAATAATATAAGTTAGTTTTAAATAATGTATAAATAGGTAAGAAGGTGTGATCGGCCGTAGGGTTAATTGCATACAAAATTTTTGATAAATCGATGCGGAAAGTGGAAGGGGTGCCAATCGGTGTGACGACGTGCGTGTGGGCCTGCCTCCTTTCCTTGTCCCCATTTTTTTTCTACTCTCCATCTCAGCTACCTCACTTCACGAATTTTCTCATATTGGTTTATTATCTGCGGGCCTTTAAGTCAAAAGAACCTGCAAACTTCGTGGAATATCTCTTCACTCCGGCATCCAGCCTGCATCATCTCGGACATTAACGCCTCATAGCACTCAGTCAGATTGTTCTTTTTTATTGCATACATCTATTAGTCATACATGAATTCTTTCAGTTTGACATTATCAATTTTTACAATTAATTAAGGTTTTTAGTTGAGATAAAAAGTCAATGGCACGAGCAGGATTCGAACCCACGATCTTCGGCTTGATACGCCACTGCTCTACCACTTGAGCTATCTTGACCTCGATCCACTCAGACACCGACTTCCCATCTCAACCGTGCCTTTTGAATTTTCCCTCCTTTTTGCCATTTTTCAAATGTCATGTAATCGGGTTGGATTCTCGACGACAAATGAAATGGCCACGGAGAGCTTTAGTGAAGTATACTTCATTTTTAATCATTAAATTCACTAATTTCGTGGTCCGCATGACCAATTAATATATTACAATTACTTTTTTATCTCAACTAAAAAACCTTAATTAATTGTAATATATTAATTGGTCAAGCGGACCACGAAATTAGTGAATTTAATTATTAAAAATGAAGTATACTTCACTAAAGCTCTCTGTGGCCATTTCATTTGTCATCGAGAATCCAATCCGATTACACGACATTTGAAAAATGGCAAAAAGGAGGGAAAATTCAAAAGGTGTCGTTGAGGTGGGAAGTTGGTGTCCGAGTGGATCGAGGTCACGATAGCTCAAGTGGTAGAGCAGCAGCGTATCAAGCCAAAAATCGTGGGTTCGAATCCCGCTCGTTTTTTATCTCAGACTTTTTTATCTCAACTAAAAAACCTTAATTAATTGTAATACATAAATTAATTGGTCAAGCGGACAACGAAATTAGTGAATTTAATTATTAATTTTATTACCATTACAAATCTATTTTATTGCATGCAAATACTATACGTTTTCTTTTGAATTTTTCATATACATATGTTTACATATTTTAATTACAACTTGTATTAACATTTTGACCTCATTTTATAAATTTAATCCTCCTCTCATTATTAACAAATTCTTATATAGTTTATATTAATACACTTCAGTAATTGGGTTTATGGCATACCGCCTTCCACCAGAGCGAGGGGGTTATTTGTGGAATACATTACAATTGGGATATCCTAAATTTTGTGGAACCCTGATTCGCACAATATCAAACTGAACAATACGCCTGTTTATAGTAAATTTTGTTTTTTAAACAAAGGGTAAAAAATAAGACAAAATGTTAATTTTTTTTTAATAAAAACAAACATTACACAGCGTATGAATAACAATGGAGTAATTTCTTAGGCTCAATTAAATATAGGAACCCTAATAATAGGTTATTTAGGTATTTAGTTAATTTTTTTAAATGAATTAAATCCAATGATTAAATGCTTAAGTACCCCACAAAAGCAATAAATAGTGAATTAATAAAAACAGATGGATAGTGGAATGCATCGGGAGGTCATAGCAAATTTAAATAATTTCACTGTTTAAAAATTTGCTAGCTTTTTGCATTTTTTTTCTTTTTGGTCTGTTCTTTTCCCCGTCCCTCAGGGAAAATATAAAAAAAAATTTTAAAAACGCAAAAGGGCTAGGAGAAATAGTTATCGATTTTGTTTTTTTTACAATTCCTCGCCTCGTATTCTAACCTGTAAAAAAAAAAGAAACAGAAAGAAAGGAAAAGAAAATTAAGACCGACACCAAGTGGCTTGATGAAAATTTGAAAATAGGCTCTTGATATCATACTGAAAAATATTGTATTAAAAAAAAAAGACTCGGTTGCAAAGAAGTCAGCGAAGAAAATTAAGATATATAGAAGAAAAATAAGCAAGAAAAACTTGTCACATTAAAAATATATACAGGGTGTCATTTTTAGATGGCCCGGCTGAATTTCTCTTGAACAATGACTATAAAAAAAATATATTAATAAAAAATAAAAAATACGTTTTAATATTTTTCTAGTTTCAAATTTTTACCTTTTTTTGGAGAAAGATTATATGTTGATCGGAAAAATGAGCACTTTGGTTTATTTCGAATGGAATGCTGAATGTAACAAATAGGTACTATTGTCAAATTTATTTACTACCAGGAATTAAAATTTGATCTCATAATGCGAGTTTAACAAACAATGACAATATAAACAATAAAGGCCATTAATGTTTACTTTAGCGAAGAAGCAAATTATTGTAATTAACAACAAAACAAATTTTTTTTTATGTTTTGACATAACTTTGTCATTTCTTGACTAATTTAAAATCTGGTTGCACCATTGTTTTCAGCATAAAAAGTCCTTTAAAATGATTTCTCAGGGTTTATAGGGTCGTATTTGAAATTTATAAGTTGAACTGGGCCTGAGGTACCCTGTATAATTTTTTTACAAAAAAGAAGGTAAAAATTTGAAAATAGGCTATTTTTTTTTTTTATTAATAGTGTCATTGGTTCAAGAGAAATTCAGCTGGGCCATCTAAAACAGACACCCTGTATATATGCAGGGTGAATCAACTTCTATAATCCACCCATTTATTTCGGAAACAGTTAACTTTAGCAAAAAAAAAAAGATTTTATACAAATCCCAAATTAATTTTGGGTACGAATATGGTAACAGATTTAACATAACTTTCTTATCAAGTTGAGAAATGAAACTCACTTTGTTATTTTAAACGAGAATCCCATATTTTTATTATACAATTCGATTCCAGAGCTTATTTTATGCCACTTTTACTGAAACAAAAATTTTGATAGGATCGACCATTTCTAAGTTATGCCTGATGGAAGACGCGTGAGGGGGGTTTATTTAAAGTTAATTGTTTCCGAATTAAATGGGTGAACTTAGAAGTTGATACACCCTGTATATATATTAATAAATAGACAGTCTAAAATTAAATTTGAATCTTAAATACTTGAATGATTAAGATAAGCAATTATTAAATTTAAAAAAAAAAATTGTTTCAGATTTGAGTGAATGAACCGTTATCAGTAGGAAGATAACGGATCATTATCACATCCGGAATCCTCATATTTTTACGTCTTCCGATGATTACATTTATACGTTTTGTCCACTCTTTTTTAAACAATCAAATAAAAATTAGTTAAAAAACCTTTCTCACCTGTGTTGAATGATTCTTTCAACAATTTTCTCCGTCGTCATTTTGTTACCCGAAGAGATCTGCTTGAAGATGCCCATCGCTTTGGGCAGTTGGTACGGGTCGGAGCCATCGTCATCGGGCATCGTCTCTGTCTGGCCGTGGCATACCACGTCGACCTTGAAGTGCGCTATGAGATCCTTCGTCACGGCATACGGCGCTCCGATCACTACTTCATTTACATACTGGGGATTGTTTTTTTAATAATTTTTTTTTATGAATTATGAGTTAAACCTGAAAAATTTTACCTTACAAGCGAGCACGCTGAGGACTCTTTCGTGAAGATTCATTATGGGGTAGTTGTGCCCTTTGTATTTATTTACCATCGGGTCTGTGTGCAGGCCTACTATGAGGAAGTCGCCCTCGGCCTTGGCCGCCTCGAGGAAGTCCAAGTGGCCGACGTGAAACAGATCAAACGCTCCAGCAACGTAAACGACTTTATCACCAGGCTGTTTAAAAATTAATTGACAAAGTATATCGTACTAAAGGTTTAATTGAATATGACTAACGCCTGGCTCTTTCCCTTCGGCAAACTGTAAGATTTTCCGGGAAGTCGGGAGGAATTGGCTGAGAGCGGTGAAAGGCTGAGTCGCCGATGAGTCGAGGCTTAGGCTCGAACTGTGGCCCTCACTCACGGTGTACTCTTGATCGCCGCGTTTGAAGTGTTCGCGTGTCATCAGGAGCATACGGCCGACGATGTCCGTCGTTGAGACGCCCCTCGTCCTTTCCACTTCACTGTTCAAACAAGCAAATCTCTACTTGAATGTCTTTGTAAGAAACCCACTCAAAAGAAATTATATTTGCACTTTCAAATATTGTTTAACTTTTGGACTTGATTTATCCTATTTTGGAGCTTCAGTGGCCGCAACGATTTAGGCGTTGACACGGTGCTCACCACTGTAAGGTTAAGGTCCCGGGTTCGAATCCAGCGGCCCTGCATTCAAACCCGACATACTTACAAATGGGCTTTTTCAAAAACACCGGCACCCCGAGGGTTGACATAACCTCGGCTGTTGCAAACCCTCATTTAAAAAAAAATTATCCAATTATCTTTTGTCAAAGCAGACATTGATTTTATGTCAAATAAATTTTCTGAGCAATCAATGTCAAATTGAAGAGCGATTTGCGGCACCGATTAATGTTTATCTAATCTGACACTCAGTATGATAATGGGCTTATCTGCATTCCAAATAAGATCATACCATATTTTTTTTATAAATCAAGTTATTGAATATATAAAAACACAATGTTCCTCGAACCTCTTCTAATGTCATTGTTATAACTTAAAAAAAATGCTTTTCTACTGAGTGCATGTAACACACACAAAACATGAGCTTTAAAATTATGGGCGGGAACCCACAGAAATCTTGAGTCTATTCATTTTTTTTATATTTGAGTAATCTGTATATGTTACTTATATATGATTATTTATTTAAATAAAAGAAACATACCAATATCTCCCAGCAGCTTTGACAAGATGGTATGTGTCAACGCCATCTGCCGTCATCGTTATGTCATCTAAAAAAATACCAATAAAATTTCTCATCTATTTATTTAATTTTTTATTCTATTTTAAACATCGTTTAAACATAGTAAAATAGCAATTAATAAACGCATGACGAATTGAGAGATTATTATCGCATGATAACGACTGTCTGCCGATAATTGCAATCTTCCTTGAAAATGAATTATGACATGGGAAAAATTGATTAAAAATGTGAATATAAATAACGAATACATACATAGTTTTACTTTCAAGGATATAATATTAAACTTACAAAAAAAAATCCTTAAATAAAAATTTTACATATGATTAATATAAAAATATTTCTAAAAAATTCCATTAGCTAAGGAAAAGGTCAAGGCTGGTGGAGACATTAAAAGACAATAAGCTTTTGTTTAAACTAATGGTATTTTACACATCGGCCGTCTCCCCTTCCCCTTTTGTGACCCTGGCATAATTTTACATCATGTTATATAATGTTAGTAAATATAAATAATTTTTTTTTTTTTAATAAAAAAAAATATCGTGGAAGTACAAAAGATAAAAAAAATAAAAGTAATCTCAGCCTATTAAGAAATGCACCATTGATCAATTGGCTGATTAAAACGAGTCTCTTTTTTCAATCCATCCATTTTTAATTAAAAACAACTAAATTAACGCAATTAAAGATGTTTATATGACAGTTGTCAAGAAAGAGAATTCCACCATGAAAGAAATATTTTCCTACCCATTATTGACAACTACGCAGAAAGTTGTTATCTAATCATCATTATAATATATCAAGGAAGATAGAATTTTATTTTCCATTTTCTACAACTAGAATTTAATTAAACTATATTATTTCAAATGTCTACATATAGATAAATTATGAGGCAAATTGGTAAAATTTGGTTCCCCCCTCTTAATTTCAGTTTTTAATTACAAGTCCAGTGAATTTTATTATTTATTTAACTATAATGGATATACGTTTATGAACATACGCAACATTCACTATGCATTTATATAAATAAATAAATTTTGAGCGAAAGAAAATAAGCGGAAATTGTGAAGGGGGCCCTCCTAAAAAGTGGAATTTTTTTGTAAAAACAAAAACAAAAAAGCTAAATTGTTCAAAAATGTTTAAATATTATTTAATATACATCATACACAAATTTTAAATATAAATAAATATATGTGTGTTTTTATGCACAAATAAAAAATATGTTCATTTTATTAATTTTTATTTTCTTCAATCAAGGGGTCACCAAAGAATTTTAAAAAAAATTTATAATGTATAAAAATATTTTTAGTGAAATGTACAAAGAGCATATAAATTTAATAAAAGAAAGCGTAAAATGTGGCGGCCCTTACTTAATTTCATCTTTTCACTTCACAACGCTTCACAGCACCAGATTAAATATTGACATAATTGAATAATGAAGAATGTTTACAAGACGAGGAATGGTATTAATTAAGATCGAATGTAAAAACAGTCGAAAGGTGAAAAATTCATTTTTCCTAAAATAAAATTTCCTCTTAGGATCCAAGAAGTAAACGACCTACTTGGTCATTTTCTCAATCATTTCAGTCAGCCGATCCTTACCGTTTTGGTCAGTCAGATAATAGTGGGTTATATAAAGGCAGGAGTCTGACAGAAACAGCGATGATAGGCCGGAATGATAAAAAATCGACGAATTAATTAAGTAACTTGGATCATTTCCGAACACTTCTGTCTACATATTTAGGCAGTTTTGTTCTGGTTATGGCGAAAAGCTGACCAACTGTCTGACCAAAGCGGTGAGGATTTTTTTATTTGTTTGGAGGGGATTTAGATCAGGGATGAGGCCATGAAGGAAAAATCAAGACAGAAAAACACCGCACCATCTATCAAGCTTTCACCTGTTTATGACGCCTTCCTCAGGGAATTGAAGCAAAATTTCTAAAAATGTCAACTCAGATGAGCTTATCGGAGAGCAAGCGAAACGATCAGAAACTAACAGTGCCATATAAATTTGCGTTACTACTCACCGCCATGAACACAGAAGTCGCAGTTGTACTTATCAAGGGTTTCTAAAGTCGTGATGTATGGGACGGCCTCGACGACCTCGTCGACCCACTTGATCCCGCGTACCATTTTGTACCTGAAAGAAAAACACTGTACCTCGGTAGATAATGTTTCATGCGACTGACCTTTCTTCTTCGGTGAAGACAGGCGATCCTTTGTGCTTCGCTATCTCCTTGTCCGAATGAATCCCGACGACTAGGGTATCGCCCATGGCTTTCGCCTGCCGCAGGGAGTTGGCATGACCGTAGTGTACCATGTCGTAGCTGTTTGTTTGTCGTTTAATAGAAATAATATTGTTGTTTGGATATAAGTTACTCACCAACCGTCACACCAGACCCTGACTGGCTTCGTGCCGCGTCCCTTGTCCATTGTAATAATTTCAAATCCGTAGTTCTTCCCAGTTATGAGATTATCCTTGCTGAGAGTTTTATCTCCGACTGACTTATCACGTCTTCACCAAGTGACGGGGTGTGAAATACAGTGATGCATTTGAATACACCACCTCTCAAATATACCCGAGGTCTGTGGGGGGAAAATCGATATGGGAAAAGCGGTCCTTTTTTTTCTACCTTTTCACGGGCCAAACTTTCACCCCGTCGGAACCCTGGGTTTTCCACGTTTCACCCTGGGCCGTTATTCCATAAATAAAAACCGTGTCTAATCGCCTCTAACATCGGGACGAGGGTTAATCACCTTTTTTGAAAAAGTTATTTATAATATTGATTCGATTTGAATGACCGTTTGTTAAATGCATGACTGGAGATTTTATATTGTGTGTTTAACGAAAATGTTCTCTAAACTAAATTAGAACAGCTGATCAGAAAAATAAACAAAATAATCAAAAAAATTTACACTACTAATCTACAAAATCTACTACTAATAAAAAATACAAATATTAAGTATTATGATCAATATAAATAATTAATATAATTTATGTGTTATCCAATTAAAACTATGTTGTCCTAAACACTCTCAAAGTAAAAATCCTAACATATTCTCCTTTTAAATAAAACCTATTCACATACATTTACTCTATTACAAGTTTGTATTAATAATTTAAACTTAAATTTAATCCTTTTTTGAAATAAAAACAAATTTATGCATGTGCGGGGTGATGTACAGGTTATCCTAAGAATGATCAGCAAAAAATAATTCATATTTTTACTTTTAAAAAAAAATTATACTTATTCCTTCACTGTGTTACACGTTTTGCTTAATAATGACAAAAAATTATATATTTAAGAGTTGTTTTTTATTTAATGATAGTTTTGTATGTAATATCTGTACAGGTTATCCTAAGGATGATCAAAGAAAAAATTCATATATTCTGTTTTTTAAAACAGAAAAAATACACATTTCTTTCTCATGTTACATGTTTTACTTAATAATCGCAAAAAATTATATATTGTGTTGTGTTTTATTTAATGACAGTTTTGTATGTAATATCTGTACAGGTTATCCTAAGAATGATCAAAGAAAAAAGTTCATATATTCTGTTGTTCAAAACAAAAAACATACTTATTCCTTTCTCATGTTACATGTTTTGTTTAATAATGTCAAAAAAATACATTGTTTTTTTTGTTTTTTTAATGAAAGTTTTGTATGTAATGTCTGTACAGGTTATCCTGAGGATGATCAAAGAAAAAAATTCATATATTCTGTTGTTCAAAACAAAAAACATACTTATTCCTTTCTTATGTTATATGTCTTGCTTAACAATAACAAAATGTGTAATAAAGGAATAAGAATATTTTTTGTTTTAAAAAACAGAATATATGGATTTTTTTCATCAGTCATGGTCATAACCTGTGCAGACATTACACAGAAAAACTTGCACAAAAATAAAAAATTACTTAAATATATAATTTTTTGTTATTATTAAGCAAAACATGTTCCATCAAGAAAAGAATAAGTATATTTTTTGTTTTAAAAAACAGAATATATGAACTTTTTTTCTTTGATCATGCTTAGTTTAACTGAATATCTGTACAGGTATAAAAAAGTATATGGTATTTGTTTTTATTTTATGAATGTTTAGTATATAATTTTTGTTCAGTTTATACTAAGCATGATCAAAGAAACTAAATTTCATATATTCTGGTTTTTTAAAACAAATATTAGTCTTATTCCTTTCTCACATTACATATTTTGTTATTATTAAGCAAAACATATAAAATAAAAAAGGAATAAGTACATTTTTTGTTATAAAAAAAAACAGATTATAATTTTTTTTTCTTTGATCATGCTTGGGATAACCTGTACAGACATTACATAGAAAATGTACATCAAATACAAAAACAACACTTAAATAATAATATTTTGTTTTAAAAACCAAATATATGAACTTTTTTCTGTGATCATGCTTAAGATAACCTGAACACAGGTATAAAAAATTATATTATATATATTTCAGAGTTTTTTTGTATGTAATGTCTGTACAGGTTATACTAAACATGATCAAAGAAACAAAATTTCATACATTCTGTTTTTTAAAACAACAAATATACTTATTCCTTTCTTACGTTACATGTTTTGCTTAATAATAACAAAAATGAGATTTTTTTTAAAATAAAAGTTTTTGTACATAATGTTCATATAGGTTATCTCAAGCATGAACAAAGAAAAAACTCAAATATTCTATTTTTTTTTTTTTTATTATACTTATTCCTTTAATATTACATGTTTTACATAGTATTGAACAAAAGTTATTTATTTAAGTGTTTTGTATTATATGAAAGTGTTTGTGATATGTTCGTACAGGTTATCCGAAGCCTGATAAAAATTAATATATTCCATGTTTTTAATATAGTTATTTGTATAACTTTTGTTTGAACAAAAATTGATATAAGTTTTTGTGTGCAACATCCTAAGACGATCAAAGAAAAAAAAATTTGTCTTGTACTCATAAAGCTGAAATTCTTCATAAATGATCTTTTTTAACCAAATATATTCTTCTTCTTGTACTGTCTTAGTTGTTTGTCTTATTAATTTTAAAACTTTACAAATTCAATCGAATTTTTTCTAAATAAATCATATTCATCGTTTTCCATACTCATAGGATAAAAATTTTAATAAATTCTCCTATTTCAACAAAACTGGTCAAATTTTTGTTACTGTACACATTTTGCTGTATATATTAAAGAAAGATACAGTTTAAACTGTTCTTTTAATATAAAACTTATTTTCTGTTTTTCCAAACTGGTGCAAGTTATTCTCAGCCAGTTCCAAGATATGATTTTAAAATAGCATTATACTTTTTATAAATATTTTGTCATAAATAATTGTCAATTTTCAAACAGGTAATGATGGTATGGATGTTTTTTTACATATGTTTATTTAGAAACAAGACTTATACTTAGATAATGGATTATTTTTGTAATTGGGAAACAAATCTATTAGGAGATTCTTTGCGTAAAACAGAAAGTAGGCAAGGCAAAAGTTGCTCTTTATTTACAACCAAGTGCAAAGGGTGAATAGGTGTCGAAAAGAAGTTTGAAGGTGTATTAATCGCAAGAACCGTCTTTCCAGCCTTCCTTCCATCTCTCCTTGACCCTGGAACAGTCGAAGGCCTCCTTTCCGAGGCGTACGTTGACGCGGTTGTGCATTTTGCAGAGCCACTCCGAAAGCTGGTCGGAGTCTGAAACCTGAGGTGGTATCTTCCGCAAGCTGATAATAGGAAAATATTAAAAGAAATTGTGTACTTTATATTCTGAGAACTTACTCCTCTTGGAAGTGTGTGGCGCACTCGTTGCAAGGGTAGAACTTTGCGAACGAGTTGAAGAACTGTTTCATGCATCTTTTATCCGATTCGGTAGGCTTGTCGGGGTAGTACGCCGCCATTGAGTGCAGAAAACTCCAAGTTGCTCGGCCTACACTCAAAAACTAAATTAAGACTGTTCGACCAGTACTTTAATTTTAAACTCACCAAGGTCTTCTCTATCGAGGGGACACTCATTGTCGACGTGTGGTTGTTCTTGCGCCTTTTCCGGTGCCTGCCGAATAATAAAATGAAAACAACATGAAATAAATGATTATCCTGGTTTTAGTGCCAGGTTCAACCTTAGAACCTTGGGACTTTGCCCAGCTTTTGAATGCTGAGCAGGCTTTGCAGGGTGGGCCTGCTGATCCTTCCGATCTTCTTCCGTAATCTGCACCATGGGTTCCCATAAAAGTTTCGAACCGGTCGGCCTTATCGAAACACCTCCGCTCGGGCTTCTTGTAAAATTTACTCTCAGAGTATCCGATAAGCCCCTTTTGGCCTTTTATTAGCCTTTATTACTTTTATGGTACTACTTTAACTTGTACTGTAGATTGTAACCCCTTTCAGGGCGACGTACTGATACTGGAAAACCGTCAATGAACCTCCAAGATTAAAATGGCGATTGGCCGCCATTTTTCGAAAATTTTCAAACTAAAAAAAATTAATATCAAATACATATTGACATTTCATTTTAAAAAAATTTTCATTATTAAAAAAAACTACATTTGTTAAGTAAAAGTTATTTGCCATCAATTATTTTCTTAATTGGACAAAAATCTTAAAAATCTCATAGCTTTCAAACAATTTATCATTTAAAATTAAAAATATTATTAAAACTGCTTTACAAAGAAGCAATATGATGATAAGAGGAGTGAGGACATTGAGAGAGCCCTCACAACGGACCAGATACCCAAGCTTCTTCTCCAGCAAGATCTTACTGGTACCCAAAGCCATCCCCATGTTCACTGTGACCTATTGTCTATTGTAGAACTCCTACGTTTATTATGGTATTATATTTCCTATAAAATTTTCCACACTGCTTCTTCGTGCACTTGCCTTGGTGAAAATGCGACACTAAATAATCTATATCATATTCGGCCTCATATGTGCAAAGGATACCCGCCTCTGGTTTCTTTGACAGTTAGTTAAGTCAGTGGCTGGTATATTAGCTTATAATCTTGTTCTTTCTCAAGCTATTTTTCCACTCTTTGTCTGCCTAGTCGTGTTCCTTGACCCATGGATGTACTTTATACTACTTGTTTTTTTTTTAGGTGATAGTTAAGGTAGTGTTCTATACTATTTTCCTAACAAGCCTGCTGAGAAAGAGAAGTTCTTTCGCTTTACTTTTGAATTTCGAAAAGGTTCTGGTCCCGTGTAAGAAAATGTAAGGACCCCAAACTACCCTGTGTAGCTAAAAGCATACACATTTAATACCTGACTGTCTGAAATCCATTCACATTTTATACAGGGTGGTCAATTACTCGTGTTACAAACTTTGCCCGTAGATTCTACATTCAAAAAAGAACCAAAAAGTCCTAATTAACTATGGTCCGAATCTCAGCAGTTTCACAGTTATTCCACTTTTTCTGATTTTTTAACATTTCACGACCTTGCTTTAAATAAGCAATTATAACTCCAAAACTAAAAGATTTTGGACAAATCCTTTGATACCATTGAAAACTGTGTTAAATTTTCAATAAGATGTGATCAATACTAAACTTGTAAACCTTCATGAAATGTGTTGTAGTGAGAACTTTACAAAATAATTTTTTTTTCAAAGTTGAAAAACTTGCTATGGTGATTCTATTTCCAAACCTAGAGACAACAAATTTCAGAAAATGTACTCCATTAAATATCCTTTATAGTGTGTAATTTCTTTTTTAATTACTTTTTTCAAAGATGAAGAAATTGATAGAGGAAAGGAAATAACTGTGGCTGATGTTTTGGTAAGGTTGTATATTAAATGGAGTATGTTTTCTTAAATTTGCTAGTCTTTAGTGTTGGATATAGAATCACCACAGTAAGTTTTTCAACTTTGAAATTTTTTTTTTCAAAGTTCTTGCTAATAAAATACTTATTTCACGAACGTTTACAAGTTTAGTATAAATCAATTCTTATTGGAAATTTAACATAGTTTTCAATGGTGTCAACAGATTTGTCTAAAGCCTTTTAGTTTTGTTGTTATCATTGTTTATTTGAAGCAAGGTCGTGAAATCTTAACAAATCAGAACAAGCGGAATAACTCTGACACTGCTGAGATTCGGACCATAGTTAATCAGGACTTTTTGGTTCCTTTTTGAGTGTAGAATCTACTGGGAAAGTTTGTAACATGAGTAGCCGAACACCCTGTATATTTCTCTTATATTCCTGTGCTTAGGGTTGGATGTACCTCCACTTGGAATATAGTAGTTACCTGTAATTCAGCACTTTTTCTTTGATTCATCAATTTGTTAGGATGACTTTTTGAAACTTTTGGTTGTCTTTCTTACAAAGAACTTATCTATCTTATTTTCTTGAACTGGCAGACCAAACCCCATGATCTACTATCTTATTTCGTCTGGTATCATTCATAAATTATATATTATCTCTATTTGGCTTGTCTAACAACAAGATCTTAAATTTAAATAAAATTTAAACCACAGTTTTTTTTTTTTATTATTTACAATATTATTCGATAAGAAACAATTAATGAAAAGTCTATATTATTTACAATGTTTTTAAAGAGTTTTCTGTTTGGAGGACTGAAACTCAACCGTCGGACTCTCGTTGTCCTCAGCTTTCCTGTATACTCTATCTCGGCCCGGTTTGATTTTTAATTCTAGCTGAGGCAAGACGACAGGCTGGCCTTGGCTCTTCTTCTCTTCCATGAGAAAATACTAAGAACAGAAATTGTACAATGTTTTGTTTTTTAAAATTTTTTATTATAATTTTTGACATTTACCTCGAGCAGAGGTGGAAATTGTATTGTCTTGGGCAGGATGCGCTCCTCGACTTTGCACGCTGCGACTCGGTCAAGCAAAGCTTGCTCTTCGCATCTAGGCACAAGACGGTAGTCCGCTTTGTAAGTCGAACTGTAGAGTTCGACAACTTTGGGATACTTTCGACCCCTGAACACTTTTTCGACATATGCCCAGATTTTCCTGTCTTGCCCTTCCTGTAAATTAAACCTGATGATCAATTAATTTTAAAACATATTGGCACATAGCACCCGAGGCTGAGCTAGTGCCGCTTCGAGGACATTATACAGCCATGTCAACAATATATACGCCATCCCAGAACGGATGCACAGCCTCATCAGCAAGGTCCAAGGATCTCACAAACAAATTTGTCAACTTTGACCAGAAATCTACAACACCATCCCATACTGAATACATATCTTTGTCAGAACGACCAGGGTTTCATATAATCACAGATCGCATACACAATCTTGTCAGCAATGACCAAGGATCCACACCGTCCTAGATCACATACACTACCTCACCAGCTATAACCAGGGATCCATGGCATCTAAGGTAGTATATAGAACCTAATCAGTAAGGTCCAAAGACCAAAACCATTCCATAAGCAACCTTTGTTTAGAGATCCACACCATCCCAGATCTCATACACATCCTTGTCAGAATGACCAGGGATTCATATAATCACAAATCGCATACACAATCTCGTCAGCAGTGACCAAGGATCCATGCCATATAAGATAGCATACACAATCTCATCAGAAAGTTCCAAAGATCCAATCCATCCTAGATCCAATAAACAACCCCGTCAGCTATGGGCAGGGATCCACGCCACCCCCAGATCTCATAAGCAAGAGACCTGGGTTCACACCCTCGGAGCTCTTGGCATCCTAGGTTCGCAACCTCCAGTCAATGGCCAGTAGTGAAGAGTTCCATGAGTTCTCCATTTCAAGTACACAGTGCTGTTCAGCAGTGTGATCAATCAAATGAGACCCACCTCCTACAAGATTTATGGCCCAGCATGACAACGTTCCTTCTCCAGTTGAGCAATAAATCCAACTTTAAGTCCAAACCTGTTAAACCTACTCTATTGAGGGAGATCCTGGAGCAAAAGACAAGGGATATCTGTAGTGGTTCTTTCAAGAAAAAATTCTCACCCTGACTTGGTCGGTTTCGACTTTGAGCACTTTGAAGTAAGACGGCTCCGGATATCTATCCATAATGTTCCTCTTCACCAACCTCCCGACGCCGAAGTTCTTCAAGTTCCCGAGGATTTCCCAGAGGGTTTTCCCAGAAAAATCCGTCGTCCTTCCGACCAATTTGACCGGCATCTTGGTAAACACTTATTAAAATTGACGTTCTTACGACTTTTAACTAAAATAGATAAAACAACCATTTGACACTAGGATCTGAAAAGTTTGTCGAGATAAATTTATGAACTTACAATAATATCAATGTTGTAAAAGAAATACAAAATACTACAGTACACTGCTGAGAAGTTTATGACATTGTTATCTCTTCTTAAAAAAATTAATGTTTTTAATAATAACGAATGAACAACAAAAGAAGACAATTTCGGTGAAACAGTTGAAAGTATAAAGTTTAAAAAAAGTAAATTTAAATAAAATTTCAGATTGTCAAGAAAAAATAATAAAAAGAAAAAATCAAGTTAGCCTCTGAGGTTATAACTTTGTTACGGCTTGTCAGATACACTATCACTGGACACTGACAAGCTTTTTTTTTCGAAATGCTCGTTTTCATTTCTGTCAAGTCTTATTAAAGCTTTCAAGCCGAAAATGGTCTGCCAGTCGAAAGCGCTGTTCACCTACAACAACCTGGTCCATGCTGTCTCCGGTGCAGTGGTAAGTCATCGGTGGCACCCTGCCTTAAGCGAGCAGTTTACTCATCATGTTGTTCTTTCAGGGGAGCATGGTCGGCATGGTGGTCTTCTATCCGCTGGACACTGTCCGGAGCCGGCTACAGTGTAAGTTCAATAACGGTTTGTCATGGTTCGCCGCCTTCAGAAATCGCCAGTCATTAACTGGCAACGGATTATACATAATTTTTATTATGTTGATAACTTTTCTTTTATGTACAGTAGTTAATTTGTTTGAAATATTTAAGATAAAAAATATTTCGGAAGGTAGACATACTATTTGCATCTGCCATTCGGACATCCGTATACATCTTTTTTTTAAAAATCAAATCTGACAATTTTAAAATATCCAGTAAGATATAATAAATTTTATATTGGCTTGGCAATTTCAGTGGAAGAAAACAGAGTTGCAAAAAACACTTTTCAAGTACTCATTGAGCTTGTCAAAGAAGAAGGAGTGTAAGTCAAACTCATTTTAGTATTGAACAAATCCTATAAAAATGTATATTTCCAGAGGGACGTTATACCGAGGCATCGTACCCGTACTGCAGAGCATATGTGCGTCCAACTTTGTCTATTTTTACATATACCATGGCCTCAAGGCGAGATCTGTGGGAAACAAGGCTGGCAAAGATCTCGTGCTTGCTTCAATAGCTGGTACATTAATACAAAAAAAAACTTAAAATAACCTTGAGATTATACTATATTTGTTTATAAAGGGATGATCAATGTATTATTGACTACGCCATTATGGATGGTGAATACGAGAATGAAAATGGCCGGAGTTACGGAAGCATACCGGTACAAAAGCTTGCTAGGTATGCCGTTCAGGATATTGCGTCGGATGTTATTTCAATTTTTGACATTACAGACGGCCTGCTTAAAGTGTCACGTCTTGAGGGTTTAAGGACGCTCTGGGCCGGAACGATCCCGTCGCTCATACTTGTCTCAAACCCTGCGATACACATGGCGGTTTACGAGGCGATCAAGCGCCGCCTACCACCCCGTGAACTATCAGCTGTAAACTATTTCCTGATATCTGCGATCGCTAAGATGGTCGCAACATTTCTGACCTACCCTCTGCAACTTGCACAAGCCAAACTTCGAGTATTTCTATTTATTTAAAAAAGAAAAAAATATTTTTTGAACATTTGGAAAGTTTGACTGAATTTTTTTTATAGCATGGGCACTGCCTTGAAGGTCTGTCATCTAATGCTGGAACAATCCAACTTCTCCTTTATTTACTAAAGTAAGATTTCTTTCTTATGCAATGTTTGCTTTTTTTATTTCAACTTTTTAAACTTGTAAGTACATATTTGTTCATCGGGCTTTGTACAATTTGTTAATTTTTCAAGCAAACAAAAAATCCTAAACAGACGTCTATGCCAAAATATATTTTGATGTGTAAAAGTTCAAGAAATTTAATGAACAAGGTTTTAAATTTAAATTGTATTATTTTAAATATTACAGGAGGCAAGGGGTCGAAGGCCTTTACAAAGGGATGGAGGCCAAACTCCTCCAGACAGTTCTGACGACATCCCTCATGTTTATGATTTACGAGAAAATAGCTGCTTTCGTCCTGGCGCTCATGAGACACAAGAAATAAGACCTCGGCCAAACTGGGTTAGGGCAATCCTACCGAGGTGTTGAGGTCTCAGCTTAGACTCGACACGATCCACTTCTGCCCCGAGGTGACAAGGATGTCGCCCTCTGACTTGACCTTGACCTCGTCGTTCTTCTTTTTCTTCTTCTTCTTCATCGTCATTTTGCTTTCACTGTAAAACGTGGGGAATACAAAACCGATCAATTTAAAAATCATTGCATTTAAAAAAATATATATAGAAAAAAATAGGGAGGGGGGGATTTAATGGTAAAAAATCTAGTCTAGTTCACATTTTTTTAAAATAAATAATTATCAAGTAGTGGTGTGTGATAAAATAAAGACAAAATGTAAAAGTGCATTGTTTTTTGGTTTAAATAATAAATCAATGTGCCAACAATTTATATTTTTGCAAAAAAAAAATTTGCTATAAAATAGTGTTAGATTATACTCACTCAATTCGTGATATTGTCATGCACGTTATCCTGCACATGGTGTTGATTTCAGTTAATTTGTCCGGTTTATTTTTAACATCGTAGACCATAAGCTTCCCTGTGAATTAAAAAAAAAGAAAGAAAATAAAGTTTTGTATAAAAATTTTTGAATAAATTGTCGTTTTACCTTGACCATTGGCCACTACGAGCCAGTCATTGATGTGTCCTATTGTTTTAACCCTAACCTCGTCTGTACGCGGGATTTGCCACTGTTCCTCGCCCGTTAAAAACGCATAGCAGGTCACATTACCCGCCCAGTCACCCAAGCACACTCTTTCTCCCTGTTAAAAAAAAAAAAAATTATATATATATATACACATAAATTTCAAAATACATTGATTACATACCTTAAGGAATTCCACACAGGTGATTCTGTCCTTGATTGTTATGGTCGTTTGGACAGCAGCGCTTGATACATCGTAAATGACGAGGCTGTTTTGATTGACCAAAGCGAAATAATTTCCGCAGAAAGACCAAGAAATTATTTCCGGCCGGAGGCACTTACTGAAAAACAATTTTTTTTAAAGATAATAATTTACTTCACCCTCACACGGCAAGAAATTTTATAATTGGTGAATCTGTCCTGTAAGGTCCAACTCTTGGAATTTCTTTCCTTGTGGCAGAAAAAGAGGCAAATGCCATTGCGCAATTCTGTCCATTGTTCATAAAATTTGGACAATTAACACATTCGATGCGGGGGGATTCCACACTGGAGTCAAGCCAGATACTGGTGACCCCACAGTGGAGTCATACCCCTCTCTCCAAGACGTCAAGATTTTCCCCCCCGCATTTTAGTTACAAAAGTCGTATAATGCCCCCGTAGGGTTCAAACAGTTCAGAACTTCCTGAACTATCTTACTGTGAGCATCGTTCCCGTGTCTCTAACCTTAAATCACTAGATATCATAAATGCACATCTACTACGCCACTCTTTTTCGGTAAGTTTGACCTTTCTCCTAAATAATGTTCTAAAAATTAAAAATAATGTTTTTCAATTTGTCTTTACGTAAACAAATATTTTTTTATGCTCTAGTAAGTAGAAAAAAATAATTACTTCGTTGTTTCTCTTTTACATGATAGATTTTTTTACTTACCTTTTTTGTCTTCAGTCTTGTTGGAAACCAACTTTGACGAAATACTTAATTATAGAAGCAATATAATTAATTTTACCCTCTGTTTTCACAAAATAGAATAAAGGATGACCCAGGTAAATATCTTTTTACAAAATACAACCGTGTCTCGGTTTTTTTGAAATTATAATTTATATTTTTATATTCCTATAATGTGCAACAATCATATTTTTCCAGAATGAAATTGGGACACGACCATTTGGATGTAAATACTAACTTCATGGGGTGCAGCGACAAGCCTGGGATATGCATTTCAACACGTTTTTTTGAATTTCACAAAAACAAAATTTTTAAATGATTCATCTAATAAAAAATATCTTCATATTTTAATGATTATTTGGAGGCCGTGAGCTGCAGTCTGGTGTGATGTAGGTTTTAGAAAAACATTTTCATGTTGAGATACGTGGTTGTAGAAATCCTTCAACCTGATGATGAGGTACGGGATCGAAATGCTGATAGTTGGAAAACAACTTACTGAGAGTAGAAACTATTTTTTTTTTTTTTTCGTTTCGATTTTTATTGAGATCATCTTCAGGGTCTGGGATTTATAAACGTTGTTTAAATTTTACAAACACATGTAGGATGTGAAATGGAAAAAGAATTTATACAATGCTAAAAAAATTTAGATTAAAAAAAATTGAATTTATACAATGCTACAAAATTTTAGATTAAAATCTTTTTTTGTAAAATTTAAACAATGTTTATATATCCCTGGCCTTGAAGATAATCTCAATAAAGATTGAAACGTTGGCACGATAAAGAAAATGTTTTTCTAAAACCTACGTCACACCAGACCGCATCTGACGACCTCCAAATAATCATTAAATATTAATATATTTTTTATTGGACGTGGACTTTTCCATATAGGTTTTTGTGTAAATGGTTTTTATCTACGTCTTCCAGGTGCCCTTGTAATTATATATAATTTAAAAAAGAAAAAACAAACAAACAAAGGAACAAAGAAAGCATGGCAGCCCATACTGCTGTGTGGTCATGGTGTCACTGTCCAGGTCATGGCGGCTTTTCCTCGTCGGTTTTCCACGCTTCATAGCCATCCCGGATTGACGGCTTCATGGCTGATGTGTGGTTGCACAAGGAAAAAAAAATTATTAGTTGAATCATTTAAAATTTTTGTTTTTGTGAAATTCCAAAAACCATGTTGGAATGCATATCCCCGGCTTGTTGCTGCCCCCCCCCCCCATGAAGTTAGTGTTTACGTCCAAATTCTGGAAAAACTTGATTGTTGCACATTATAGGAAAATAAAAATATAAATGATGAAAAATGGCAAAAAGGAGGGAAAATTCAAAAGGAGGGGTTGATTGAGATGAGAGGTTGGTGTCCGAGTGGATCAAAGTCATGATAGCTCAAGTGGTAGAGCTGCGGAGTATGTAACCGAAGGTTGTGGGTTCGAATCCCACTCGTGACACTGACTATTTATCTCAATCAAAACCTTAATTAAAGAATAATTAATTCAAAATAAATTATAATTTCAAAAAATTGAGAAGCGGTTGTACTTTGTAAAAAGATATTTACCTGGGTCATCCTTTCTTATATTCTGTGAAAACGTAGGGTAAAATTAATTAGTCATGTGTTTATATTACTTTTATAATTAAGTACTTCATTAAAGTTGCTTTTCAAAAAACCGGAGAAAAAAAAAAGAGAAACAAGGAAGTAATTATTTTTTTCTAGTTGCTAAAGCATAAAAAATATTAGCTTACATAAAAGCAAATCGAAAAACATTATTTTTTATTTTTTAGAACATATTATTTAGAAGAAAGGTCTAACTTACTGAAAAAGAGTGATGCACTGGAGGATGTTGTGCAATAGACTAATATTGTGTCTTGCAAGGCTGTTAAGATGCTGACTCCTTTTAGCCAAATCTTAATTATTCTTTTTCAACCTACAACTTTTCAAAATTTTCCTCTTTTTGCCATATTTTCATAGGTTAAGATGAGGTGGTGTCTGAGGGGATCGAAGTCACGATTGCTCAAGTGGTTAGAGCAGTGACATATTGAGCCAACGGTCGTGGGTTCGAATCCCGTTCATGACACTAATTTTTCATCTAATCCAAAAACCTTCGATGAAAAGAATAATTAATTTGAATAAGTAATATGGCCAATTATGACTGTTAAACAAATGTGGATTAATTTATCATTAATGTTTAAGTTTTTCTTAATTACTTTGCCAAGTTGACGGTGTAAGCAGGTCGTCCTTTGATGAGGTTCCATGTCCTAAGTGTCTTATCCGCTCCGACTGAAAGCGCCATTTTCCCACTTGGGTGTATGCTTATGCTGTGTACAGCTGGATAAAACCGACCAGGTTAACAATCGATATCAAACAGTCAATTTTTTTGATTACTTACCCATCCCTTTGTGCGCCTTTGTCCAGATTTTTTCCAAGATCCAATTGCCGACTCGGACCATGGCGATCGCACCGTCTTCACTCCCGCTCATCAAGTGAGTACCATCGGGAGTGAACTTGAGTGTCGTGATCATACCGCAGTGATGCATCAGGAGGCCACCTTCTCGCCTTTCTTTCAAATCGTACAGGTAGATGTTCTCATCTGAGCCTCCCGAAGCGAGGTGCCTCTGGTGAGTCGCCAATGACCTGACGCTCCCCAGGTGCGAATGGTCGGCTATCGAATGCTCAAGTTTGTAACCCTTATAACAAACAAATCATTATCCAATGAAAATAACATAAAACAAATCAATACTCACATTCTCCTCTTTAATTAGCTTATATCCAAGCAGGTATTCCTCATAAGTACCACACAACACTTCAAATAAAGAGTCCGCGCTCTGTTCTTTCATCATGCTTTTTTATCAAACATGAAATTTTATTAAAACTTACTAACTTTAATTGAAAGAACTTTAATCAAGCTGAAATTGGAGAACGTGGTGTCAAACAGAAAAACGTGACTGAAAACAGAAACGTAACCTCCCGACAAGGTTAATATTAGTAACTTTCAACTTCCAGCAGTGCTAGTGAGTAATAAACAATAATTTATAATTTTATTAATTAATGACGACATTAATACATTAATTGTAATTAATTATAAACTCGAAAATGTTATTTTATCAAATGGGTATTTTTTATCATAAAACATTCTGTACAAATTTAAAGTCGAGCTGTTCATGAAATCTACCACGTTTTCTTCCCCTTTCCTTCTCTTTAACGTTTTATAATTCTTTGTAAATTATATTAAAAGTAACAAGATCTTAAAAAAAAATAAAATAGAAATCGTGGGTTTTATCAGGGAATAAAATTTCAGCCTTAGTTGAATAAAAAGTGCTGTCTTTTTTAAAATTATATTTCACACTTCCTAAATGTACTGTTCATGAGCACAACGCCAACTGCGGCCCTGGAAGTGTTCTTAAACCTCCACTACTTCATTTATTAATCCAAGGAGAAGACAGAGCAGCGGCCCCCAGGCTCATAAATGGACAACCATCTGCAAGGATAGCCCGTGTAAATAAACAATGGAAACTGAGGGAGGAGATACAGGCAGATGCCATTTTGAGTACAATGTACTGGAAACATGAACACTGCTAACGGCAAACTCCTGTTATACTGATGGTTACAAAACCGACGAGGGCAAGGGAGTTGGAGTTCTCGGGATGAACCCAAAGACTAAACTGTAACTGACGGTAAACCTACGTAAATATGCTACAGTTTTCCATTCTGAAATCATAGCAATTAAACATTGCACCAGGGAAATAAAAAGGCTAGGAATACATTCTCAGAAGATAGGCTTTTCTCTTACGGTCTGGCAGACTAAAGCCTCATGCGAGATGAAACTATCGCCAATAAGCTAGTTTGTTTAGCATATGTACAGGGTCCACTCCCCTCCTCCCCCTGACAACTGCCCAGCTAGCAGAACCCACAACGCTTCATTTATCATTTACAGTTCATTTTATATGTCAAGTCCGAGATTTTGTAGGAAATCAAAAATAAGTCTATAAAGAATAGATTTGTCAGATGTCAACTAACTTTCAAAACAGAACGACTTAATCATCTCTTCTGTTCATTCAGTTTAAAAGGCCAACTCTAGTTGTTTCATATTCCATACAGAAAAAGACTATATGCTTCATAGTTTCAGGTTCACCACACGTAGGACGATTTTGAGACGGCCTAAGGCCAATTCTGTGCAAATGGGAACCACAGATGTCATGATTCGTTCTTAATCGTGTTGTTGAGAAAAATTTTGCAGCCAAACTATACAGAAACCAGGGAACTTGGTCTTTTTAAAAATGTACGGTAGAGTGATCCCGCCGAACTGCTGTTATACCACTCCTCCCAGTCCTCTTTCCATTTATAGTTCAGTACACGTTGGTCATCTGATTTTGGCAGTTTGATGTTAATGAAGTCTCCGTCTCTTGTTGCTCATTTTGTCAAATGGTTGACAAATTCTTTCTCTTTTATGCCGCAATGCTCTCTTGTTCCAGCAGAAAACTACCGTTGTTGAACGCCTTGTCTATTTCTTCTGTTAGCAAATGGTCACCCTTGGCGTTTAAAAGTTCTCAATTTAAGCAATGAAGCTGTTACTGTCCGTTACAAGGCAAAATTTTAATCCGTCTATTATCATCAACTACTCCAAGGCTTTGATTAAGGCGTACAGTTCAGCAGTTAAACTTGTAACTGGAACACCTTTAACAGCACACCTATTATTTATGTACATTTTTGGCTTTTTTCATACATAAAAATCCGCTATCTCGCCATGAACTTACAAGTTCATTTAAAAACAAAGCTGTTGTCAATTTAAAACCTTATTAATATGCATTTGTAATCTTTAGACTTGGACAATATATCATGTATGTAAATATAATAATAAATTATTGGTTGCAGTAAACAATGAGCCCGACGGGTAAAAAGAGGAAGGGTTATTATATGGGCTCGAAGGCGAAAAAAGCGAAACGCGACCTGTTTGGACCTGGGATGAAAGGATTCCTCTGCACATGCAACAAAAGGGTCAAAGAGTGCATCAGGGAGGCGTACAACGTTCTGGATGATTTTGCTTCAAAGCTATACCCCAAGGTCAGAACAAACACAGCTTAATCATTTAATTGAAATAAAATTGAAAAACTCATCAGGAAGAGAAGAAAGACTGCGAGGAGAATATAGAAAACGAGCTTGCAAAAGAATTACAAGAGCTTAAGAAGGACGGTGAAGAGCGTCGGTTTCAAGTTGTTGATACAGGGTCGAACAGTTGTGTTTTTATAAAAACGACGGTCAGTTTTTTTAAACTGTTTATTGGGCTTGAATAATTCAATTTGTTTTAGCTTGAAGACCCGACCAAATTGGCCGAGGCGATAGCGAAAGACATACACGACACAAAGATCCCGAGGAGTAAATGTCTCATAAGGCTTATACCCATCAACACCACTTGTAAAGTATGTCTTATTATTATTATTAAAACGAAAATTATAAAAAAATATATATATCAAAAACATTTATTCCAGACTTGAAACACTGACTTAATAAAAAAAAACATGGTTAACTTTTTTTTTGTCTTTTTTGGAGAAAAATTTTGTGTTTGTTTACAAAAGGTTTTTCATGGTTTAGAGTGGGATTGTTGTTTTGAAGTCGGGAGCGGTTGCCGCAGTCGATTCTTCGTTCTTGTCCACTCTGGAAAGAAAAAATCTTTAAATGTTTCAGGCCTACATGGACGACATTACGAAGATGGCAGATAAAATGTTCGACGAGTACTTCAAAGGGGATCCGACGACATTTTCTATATTTTACACGTAAAATATTACATTTTTTTTTTAAACGTATTTTTGCCTGTAATAAAGAAATCTTTCCCGTAGTAAACGAAACAATAACACTTTGTTGAGAGATGAGGTGATTTCTATGCTGGTCCAACTCGTACGGGATAGAAACCCCGGTCACAAGGTTGACCTGAAGAATTCTAAGAAGACGATAGTGATTGAAGTTTTAAAAGCTGTATGCGGGATATCTGTAGTTTCGAATTTTCACCAATACAGGAGATACAACCTGCTCGAACTGTGTAAAAAGGATGGAAAAGAAGGGGAAAATAAACCAATATCTGATGATTAAAAAAAAGCCTATTTCTTTAGTTTTTTTCACGTCTTAAATATACAATACGATTTTAAGCAGAAATATCTATCACAGAATGGGACATCTACAACTATATAAAGGATGCCTGTAACATAAATCTCTTAAGTTATTACTTTTGTTGATCTGCGAACTTGTTCACGAACTGACGAAGTTTGTCTGTATCCTGAAGTCCAACGAGGCGCTCTTCGACTTTGCCATTGCGGATCGCGATCAAAACAGGGACTGAGCCGACCTGGAAAAAAGCATAAGTGGGTAATAATTTGTGTTGAAACGCATGGGTGGAAGCATCTAAAATTTCCTACGTCGTAATCTAAAGCCAGATCTGTGTGCTCATCGATGTCCACCTTGGCCAAATGGACTTCACCGTTCTTCTCGGCGATCACGTTCTCAATCCTTGGAGTTAGGGCCTTGCAAGGATTGCACCATCTTAAAACAATAAAAATGTAATCCAATACAAGATAGAAAGCAGGAAAGAAAGAATAGGAAGGGAAGAAAGATGATAAAGGACGATGAATAGCATTTTTGAAAATTTATTTTTGTCTGTAATGAAGAAATCTTTTATGCAACAACTGAAATAACAACAGCCTGTTCAGAGATGATAGTGGTGAAAGGTGAAATAAGTAAGAAAGGTAAGAGAAATAAAAAGTAAGAATGAGATATTGGATTTAGGCAAGTGAAGTAAAGCTAGAGAGGGGGAGAGAGAGCGGAATGGGGTAAGAAAAATAAAGCTAGTGAGAGAGATAGAATGGACTGAAATAAAGGTAGTGAGAGAAGAAGTGAAGTAAAAAAAAAATAAAGCTAGTGATAGACGGAGGGTGGAGTGAGATAAGAAAAAATAAAGCTAGTGAAAGACAGAGGGCGGAGTGAGGTAAGAAAAAATAAAGCTAGTAATAGATGGAGGGTGGAGTGAGGTAAGAAAAATAAAGCTAGTGATAGACGGAGGGTGGAGTGAGATAAGAAAAATAAAGCTAGTGATGGATGGAGGGCGGAGTGAGGTAAGAAAAATAAAGCTAGTGAGAAATTGAGAGTGGTAAGAGAAGGTAAGAAAAATAAAAATAGCAAGAGAAAGTTCAGTGAAACAAGAGAAATAAAGCTATTTAGAGCGACTGAGAGTAGAGGTAGTTAAAAGAAATAAAGCTAGTGAGAAAAAGAGAGGAATGAGGTAAGAAAAATAAAGCTACTGAGAGAAATAGACTGAAGTGAGTTAAAAAAATAAATAAAACGAGGGAAAGACAGAGATATTGGTTATATAAAGATATTTATTTTTCTTACCTCAAGAGATATGAGGTAAGAAAAATAAAAGTTGTGAAAGAAAGTTCAGTGAAGCAAGAGAATGAGAGATAGCATGGAATGGGGTAAGAGAATTAAAACTAATAAGAAAGTAGAGACAGAGAGAGACTTATAGTAAAGTATTATAAACAAAAGAAAGGGTACAAGATGAGGGTGGGAAGAAGTAGAAAAAATAAACTGGCTGATCAAAAACAAAATGAGGTAAAAGAAAAAGAATGTGTGAAAGACAAATTTCATAAAATTTGTGAGAGTAAAGTGAAGTAAAATAAACGAGTTTGTGAAGCAAACTAAAATAATAAAGAGAATGAGAAAAAAGTCCAAATCAAAGAAATAATTGATTTGGAACACAAATTGAATGATAATTGGAAGGAATGCGATTCACTGGTTTGTGTGAGCAGAGAAAATAAAAGGAGATTAATTATTATCAGTCAAAGAGAACTCCAGTTATTGATTTAATATTAATGTCAGTTCTATAGGCTAGTACACACTCGTAGACAAAATCGCTGATTTTTGTCTGTAAACTGTTGCAGAACAAATCCAATCTAGAACCTTTGTCATGCGTCTACACCTCAGTTAAACTAGTTTCTGCGATAAAATGATGAGCGAGATAGTGGCTTGCAGCTTTGTTGCTTGTGCAGTTTTAATTTTTGATCCAAAAAGGAAAATTTGGATTGCTTCTTCTGGAAAAATTAAAATTAGAAGATAGATCAGGTTTCAGGAATTTCATCCGGATTTTGAAAATTTTCTATTTATGGTTGGAAATAAAATATTCAAGCAAGAAACCAGATCAAGAGCGAGTGTTCCAGCCTCTCTGAGGTTAGCAGTAAAACTTTGTTTCTCGGCATGTTGCACAACATGTGTTGTTTTCCATCCGAGCTGGGAGACCATAAAATTCTGATTTTTGCCTACAGGTAGTTGCAGAACAAGCAATTTGTTCCCGGTTTGTCTATAGACAATCACAGAACTTAGTCTACAGACAACAGTTGCTCGATTTAGTCAACGAATGTGTACTAGCCTTAAGACTGACCACTCTTTCTATAAAAAAAAAGAAAAAAAAAAGAAAGAAGTCTTTAATGGGTTGGTTAATTTAAAATTTCCACCAGATAGACTGAGGTTGTGTAACCCCATTCCAATGCAATTTACAAATTTTCTTTATTTTTGAATTCATACTTTGAGGTTTTAACCCCATTCCAATGCAATTTACAACTTTCTTTATTTTTGAATTCATACTTTGAGGTTTTTTACATGTTGAAGGTTAAAAAAGTCAAGTGAATTTATTATTTTAATCAGTTCATACTTAACGAAGCCCTCCATAGAAATTTTCAATAACAGATGGAAATTTAAATAAACAGGATTTTTTTACTTTAAACTTTTCTTTTAGGATTTACTTGTTTTATTTCAAATGAGATGCAATAAAAATTTTTTTGGCCTTTTTTTGCCCAACATGATAAAAAAAAATCTTTTCAAGGTTCTCAAAAATCTTTTTGCCATCTTATCAAATTAAACTGTTCATCCATTATATCAAATGGCATTGTGCAATAAGCTCTATGGCTTTATAAAAGGAAAAAATGGACGTGTTAAAAAAATTAAAAATAAGACAATAAAGTTAACTTTTCGCTAATATGTAGCACAGTTTTTCAACGTAGAACCATATACCAAAAGATTAAACCGATGGTTTTAAAAGTAAAACATATAAGACATCAATTATGTTAATTTTTATATCGTGACAATTTTAAAGTCTGCTGCAGACTTACGTAGCGAAGAAGTCAACGATGACTGGTTTCTTGCTGTTCTTGACCCTCTCGTTGAAATCGTTGACATCCTGGACCTTGAAAGATTCCTTTTTGGCCGAGGTCGTCGAAATGCAACGTCTCACGTCGGCGAGACCGACTCTTCCCACACTCCTGATCATTGTATGTCGAGTCACCTAAATTTTCTCTCTGGAAGTGAAATTTTTCAACGTAACCTCCGTGTGACTGTTATCCCTTATCACTTGGCGATAAGGAGGCCTTGGAATTTGTTTTATAAAACAAAGTCCGTATTTATTTTTTCACTGTATCATTTAAAAATGATGACATAAAAAATATATATTGTTGAAATTTTTATTTTTGGCCTGTTTTGTTTTTTAAATGTTATATAAGGACATAAAAAATTTGAAAATTATTGCTAATGCCATGTGATCAATGATTATTGTTTTGTTCGTTCAGTTTGTTTGGCTAAGTAGGGTTCTTTAGGCTTTTCGGAAAAAAAACTGTTAGATTTTTAAAGCGGGTTTTAACTTGTTTCACTTAATTTTTGCAAGTCTTATTAATTACAGGATGGAGTTTTATTAAAAAGAAAGACATTTTGAGGAATAGTTCATAGCTCCTTTCTGAACAGTTCGTATATTGAACTAGTTCGAACAAGGTAGTTAAGACTTTTTGAATCAGCCCAAAAAAGCTGTTACGATTTTAAAGTGAGTTTTAACTGCTTTCGCGTAATTTTTGAAAAAGTTTTATTTATAGCGGATAGAAAAGAAAAAATTGGAAAAGCACTATAGTTCACTGAAAAGATTGGTCAATTTTAGGAAAAGCTCGTTTAAACTTTAAACTAGTACGTACATGAAGTCTTAAGGTTGTAGTGTCTTACAACTTACCATTCTTGTTATTTGTTCAATGTAAAATAGAGGCGATAATCTGTTCAAAATGATCAGGAATGACACACGGCTTTTTACATTGTAAAAAAAGAAAAATGTTTAAAGATAATTGTATTTTTTTTTCATATCAGTTGTGATAACGTTATCTCTCATCGGGCGTAACCTCCCAGTTTTCGAATGAAACAAAAAATGCCCAGGAAAAATTATTGGAGTTGTTCAATTTCCGGTTAAAATTACTAATAGTGTATAATTAAAAGGTCAGATTGTCGTTTTTTCACAAATCGGAGGAATCTGGAACTCCGGAAGAAACAAAGGATATTTCTTATTTGCCAAAATGTCCTGGTTCGGTAATCTCATTAAAAGGATCGGCTCGAGTCCGGCCCCTAATCAAGTGCTCGAGGTGAGCACGGCGAAATACGACAACAGTCCCATCATCGTCAGAGAGGAGAACATAGTTTTGTATGCGATCCCCAGGGAAAACAGCTACGAGATCATCATGCAAAAACCTATTTCTGAGTCGACAACGAATTGTTACAGGTACTGATTCACAAAACCGGTTTATGACAAGTGTTTAAATTTATTGATGGTTACAGCTTGTACCGCACTGACGACAGGGCAGTAGCCGAACGACGCTTTTCAAACTTAATGGGCAAGCTTTTGTTCTTATGCAAGTGGTCTCTAAATGTGAGTATGCTCTAATGTTCAAAACATTTGAATTTTGATTTGATAAAAATGTCAGGCTTCGTTCAGGAAAGGCGGAGTTCTTTTATTTTAACGGAGTTCCTTACTTCCGATACCGGCGTGAGTTAACTGTTGTGAACAATTATTCTTTGAAGTTGAATTATTCTTTGAAGTTCGGTCTGCGAGTCGGTGTTGAACCGTCACCTACCAAACCCTGGGCCGGTTCAACATGAATTAATATTTTTTCTAGTGAAACGCGTGAAATGTGTTTTTTCATTTCTTAAAATACTCCTTTAATTAAAAATGAATATAATCCTCGAAATAAAACCTAATTTTAAGTTTTGTTTAATTTAGAGTATAGAATCCATACAGAAATATTGCGACATGATTGAAGAACAACCGACCTGGAATTTATGCCATTTAATAGTTTATTTTTCAATAAAGGAGGCCTTGCCTCACCCGATTATCACAAGGTATACAAAAAAGTTTTTACACATAGAAAAAAAAATCTAACTTGTTACATTTTGATATTTCAGTTTGATCAATTCTTCAGACTCAAAAACAGGATTTTCACCATTGCAACTCGCTGTAAGGGAAGCGAACGTGGCGATGATCAAGCTTCTTTTGAACTGTGGAGCATCAGTCGAGCATTTGGACCATGAGGGTAACTCCGTTTTCCACTACGCTGCCATGGCGAATAAAGATATAGTCAATGTATGCGCATTTTTTTTTTCATTTCAAACTTCGTCCAATATTTACAATTCACTGTTTTGAACAGCTTCTCGCCGAGACGGGAAATTCGCCCAGGGTGCTGAGCCTCCGAAACATATATGGCTCGACGGCACTTCATGTTGCTTGCCGTTCTGATAAACCGGATTGCGTTACGGCGCTCATCTCGAATGGCTTGGATGTGAACATTAGTGCGACTTCTTCAACTGTTTCGACTAGCTCGCCTTATTACACCGCTGGTATCATAGGCGACTTCTCGAAAGAGTTCCCAAATAAATTAAAGACAGAGGTAAAGTTTTCATCTCAACCAAAAACCTTAGATACAAAGAATATTTAATTGGAATTTTTATCAGTTTTAAACCTCTCTTATAACAGAACCATTATCTAACATTTTAAATTATATATATATATATATGTACATATTCAAAGGATAGAAGCCTAAATAAAAAATTTTATAGCACACAAAAAAGTCTGCCAAGACAGACAGGCACGGAAGCAAATTGGTTCAGAAAGATCTGAAACGCAAAATGTGAATGGAAATATTGATTTTTGAGAATTTTTTTTACTTTCCGCAAGAATTGTGACTTCCTTATCTTTGATAGTTCGGAAGCAAAATAAAAAAAAATTAGACCTGGATTATCCGGGGTCAATTTTTTTTTTCATAATGTTTACCCAATGACTTGTCTTCTACATAAAAATGCATAATTTTATCCAAATTCAATGTTTATACCAATGGAAAACTGAATTTCTCTGCTTTCAGACTACGGCAAAATTTTACGACATTAAGAAAAATAAGAATGAAATTTAAAAAAAAATGTTTTGTTTTCCAGTTGTGATTTATTTTCGAAAGGTGTAGTAGGTTGTAAGGTTCTAAACACACATTCTTTTTGATTTTCAAAATAAAAATAATCAGAAAGCAAAAATTTTGGAGAATTTTTTTTTATTTACACAAAAACGTTATCCGAGGCTTTCTGGGGGTGCAAAAAACAAATATCTACTTTGTTTCTTGCTAAAAAAATATTTTAGCTTTCTTAAATACATCGAATGGCTTGGATGTGAACATTAGTGCGACTTCTTCAACTGTTTCGACTAGCTCGCCTTATTACACCGCTGGTATCATAGGTGAGTTCTCAAAAGAGTTCCCAAATAAATTAAAGACAGAGGTAAAGTTTTCATTTCAACCAAAAACCTTAGATACAAAGAATATTTAATTGGAATTTTTATCAATTTTAAACCTCTCTTATAACAGAACCATTATCTAACATTTTAAATTATATATATATGTATATATTCACATAAATTATGTATATCAATATCTGTGATACTACAAGTGATGCAAAAGAGGTTATTTTAAACATGAAACTAAGTTGATATTTGTGTTTTGCACCCCCAAAAAATTTGTTTTAAAATAAAGAAAAAAAAAATTTTTCATCAAATTTTTCGCCTTCCAAATGGCTTTAATTCTCTCCCCCTCCTGAAAATCACAAAAATAATGACAACTTTAAAACTACTACACCAATCCACAGGAAACTTTACAGGGATTTAAAACCTCGTAAAACTCATGTAATGGTACAAACCTCACCTCAGTACATAAATTAGAACAAGAGAAATTAAATCAAATCTTTGAGGAGGATTTTTTTATTTTTTGGCTGATAATGGTGTAAAATCTAAACTTTGTTGAAGTATCTTGAAAAAAGTAATATTATGCTTTCTCAACGAGTGTAATAACATTGAATTTGGATAAAATCTAGAGGAGTTTAATTTATAAGTAGTACTCAGGGGCATAGCCCGACTCGGCCCCGTTTTTTACCTGCCCATAAGGCAGATCATAATCCCACAAACAGGCATAGCCCAACTCGGCCCCAACCTGCGTTATACATGGCAACGAAGGATTCGAATAAATAGAGATGTACAATAATAGGCAAGTAGGTATAATTAATATATGAAATCGTAATGAAAAATGAATTTCTCAATGGTCAAAAAATCAAAATTACCTCTGTTAACTGTCGACAACCTCAAAGCGGCATTTTGCATTTTGTTTGTGTATCAGTTTAATTGTTTGTCCATAAATGCGATCTTGCGTGATGGTGTGTGCGTATCTACGGTCATCATTGATGCTGTTGCACTTGATGTGTCAGTCTGTAAATGTATGAGGGTTGGAAGAAATGTAACGGGAGGATGTGAATTTGTAATTGTTTAAAACTAAGAATACACTACCATGCTGACTTGTGGTCTCAGAAAGTTGATAGCAGGACATATATTGGACAGTCGAACTAAACTGACTTGATGAAAGGAAAACCAGATAATATGGAATGAATGCATATAACAAAACTCTGTTATCTCAGGTGGATTTTGCTCATTTGCTTGTTCAGTGGAGACCAAGGCGCATCATGTAATTAAATAGGTAGATATTGGTAGAGGCCGAATTGTTCCTCACATTTGGGATTGTAATCCGAACGGGGCCGAGTCGAGAATTTCCCATATATATATTATGCAGGGTGGGCAACCAAGACCCGAGGGTTAAATGCCTGGGTAGACTCGTACCCCATCCCTAAAAGGTCTGGGACTTGGTTGGCTCACGTGTCCTGCATAAACCTCTTGGACTTGTTCACAAACCCCAAGATTTTGGACCATTTTATCTCGGGGGAGTGATTTGGTGATGTCCTCTCCTTCAAAGATTTCAAATCTAGACCTAGCATACCTATCGCACTCTGCGAGGTAGTACCTTGCCGTTTCTTCTTTTATTTCGCAGAAGCGGCAAAAGGGTTCTGGTAGGATACCCATTACGAAGAGGTGTCTTCTCAGTGGGCAGTGGCCCGTCAGAATACCTATCAGCCTCCTAATTCCCTTCCTTGAGATAGAGAATAGCCATTTCGATTCTGCTGGTTTGATTGCCTTAACAAACTCTTTCGATTCCCTGTGTCCGGGGATAAATTCCACTCCCTAAGGAATTATTTCAAGCCCCAGTTATTGATACTCTCTTTCACTGTGCTCATAGAGTGAGGTAATACCAGTTGTGGCCCGACAAATGCAGTATTAGAACCTTCTTTGGCTAGGCCATTCGCCTTTTCATTGCCATGGTGTCCTTTATGTGCTGGTATCCAAATAAGGATCACCTTATTCTCAAACCTGAAAGAGATCCTGTTGATAAGTTCTATAGTTTTCTCCACCAGTCGTGAGGTTGACAAATCTTTTTGTAATGCCCTAAGACTAGCCTGTCAGAAAAGATTTTAATATCTTTCCCTTAATTTTATTTTCCATAAGTGTTCTACAACACACATTGATGGCCCAGATTTCCGCCTGAAAAAGGAGGTGTTATTGCCAAGAGGAGAAGAGATGCTGATTCCTAATTTTCAAGCCCTTACTGTTTATGGGTAATTTTGAAACCTGCACTTGATAGGAAGCCCCTTATACACTTAATGTATAATCGACAAGAAACAAGTTCATTTATGTAATTTCTTTAAAGATAATAAAATGTTAGTATAATAAGAAGTAGTTAAATTGTTTTCCAAGGGCCAACCTTACACTCAGGACATGGGGGAAAACTGGCCCTGATGAATCCAACCTAAAAATGTCTTACTATTATTATTATTATTTTTAATTGCATTGAAAATTCATATTAAAAGGTGCTTAAAATGTGAATTGGTTTTTTTCAAAAACAAAATTTTTATGCACTCCTTTACTAGAAAGGGTTTTTGCAACTTTATAAGTACCTAACCTCATTCATACAATCTTTCAGTATTAGTTTCTTATTCCATATACAAAATATAAATCTTCTATTATACAATAACCTTGAAATACATGCACAACAAAGGCAGAAAAACACATTTTAAAAAATCAACTTAGGTTACTTAATTTTTTTCTCGGCCCCCTATTGGCAAGAATGCTCAGACACGTGTCTAATATTTTACTGCATTCGTTACTTGGGTTCTGCTTAGACGTGGAATCAGCATACACTGCGGAAACAAGACATTGGTGTACTGTAACTTATAGGATACTCTAAGCTCTCAATGAAAAACAAACTTAAAATCTACAAAACACCTGATTTGGTAATACGGTATAGAACTGTGGGGAACCGCTAAACCTTTCAATGTCCAACATCTCCATTCCTTTCAGTCTAAAGTCCACCGATAAGTTATAAATGCTCTGTATTCTGTCTTCAATACTACCCTCCACAATGACCTTAAAATCCCGTTTATCCAAAAATTTGACCAAGTTCCACAACAGTCTATCCCATCGCCACAATAGTCTTGCGCCCAAGCATTGTCTGAAAGAGTCAAACCGTACCAACCCATAAGGCATTTCGAGTGGAATGGCCCCACGACATCTTTTCCAAGGAGGGGGGGTATTGAAGTGAAGTGGGAGAATAATATTGATTATTTGCTCCCGTTAGTGTACATATGTAAATAATTGAAAACGTATTTATGGATCATCAAACTAAATGTATTGAAGAAAAAATTTTTACATCAGAAAAAGTTACTTTAAAATAGGTGATCTCATGTCCATAGCCTCCTCTTATGTTTAGAATGAAGACTAAGATGAATTTTTTAAATTTATTAATTAGACTCATTTAAAAATATAAAATATTATGTAATATGTACACCATACAATTTATCTTTTTTTAATGTATTTTTAATAGCAACAATAAACTAAAAAATATAAAGCCCCCCCCTAAATAAAGGGCCAAAATGAATGGTCTGGCCTTAGCTAAACATTCTTTAAAAATTTAATCAGGTGGTGGCTGCAATGGTTAAGGCGTTGTCATGGCGCTTATCACTGTAAGGTAAAGGTCCCAGATTCTAATCCAACAGCACTGCATTTGAACCTGACATACCTACAAAGGGTTTCTAAAACACTGGCACCCCGAGGGTTCAAATAATGTCGCAGTTGAAATACCCCCTGGTTTTCATAAGTTATTGTCCTCAAAATGCCTTTTAAATTATGCACTACCTTGAAACTTTGATCAGCCTATTGATTTTTGTCCGTTGGCATCAGTCATGCACGATGCCTAACAACATCAATATACCTGGTATGCAAAAACTGCAGGATATTATTCAAAATGATATCCAAAACATATTGACTGAGGCAGGCGAGCTGAAGAACAAGATTGTAACTGCTAATTACGGTATTGATCTTACGGTAGGAAACTCAAGATTTTGTACATAATTTTAAAATACACCCATTTTATGTAACTAAAGTTATACTTTGATTTCAGGAGATGAAAAATGGCGGCACTCCAATCCACTGGTCGGCGTCAAAAGAAATAATTATAACTTTACTCGAAAGAAACTGTGATATCAACGCACTCAATTTTGCTAATCAAACGGCCTTGCATGTCATGGTATAGACATTGTTTTATTTCATTCTTTTATGTGCTGATTATGTTTTACTACCACATAGGTAATGAGAAATAGGTTAGACTGCGTTATAGCGTTGTTATCCCGAGAGGCCGAAATAAATTTGGTAGACGATGATGGGAACACTGCTCTTCATATGGCTGCAAAAGAGAAGAACATCCCAATAATACAGGCCCTTTTGACCTTTGGCTGTGACTTTAATTTAATGTAAGTCCGGTTTTCTTTTAAAATAATGATTTTTTGTAATTATTTTTTTTATTAAAGAAATAACGCAGGGGAAACAGCGAGGCACATAGCTGCAGTTGAAGGTAGTGAAGTCAGTTTGAAAATTGTTTACATTCTTCATGCAGTTGGTGCGAAAAGGTGCAGTTCTATTATGAACTATTGTACATCGCACTGCAAAGCGGACAGTATTGACAATGGCATTCCCCCACCTCCCGCATCCGGTCCGACTCCTCGAGTAATCTCAGATATCCTGAAAGCGGAATCATGCAATTTGAAACCAGGGAGAGGGGCTCGAGTGCTTAGCCTCGACGGCGGTGGCATAAGGGGTCTCGTACTCATTGTCATACTGCTTCACCTGGAAGAAGTCATCGGAAGGCCAATTGTCCACTGTTTTGACTGGATTGCAGCAACAAGCACAGGTGGAATCTTAGCGCTTGCTCTCGCAGCAGGTACAGCATTTTATAAATTACGAAAATTTTTACATTTTTTCTCTTTTTAAATAGGTTAACAAATGTTACTTGTTATAATTGATACTTTCCCCAGGTAAAACTTTAAAAGAAGCATTGTGCATTTATTTTCGCATGAAGGATGACATTTTTCAAGGAAGGAAACCTTATAACAGTGAGCCTTTGGAATCACTGCTTAAAGACGTTCTCGGCAATGACACAACAATGGCTGATATCATGCATCCCAAGTAAATGATCAAGATTAATTTGGAATTTATTTGTATTTAATTAAGGTTTTTTTTATTCTTGTTTAAGGTTGATGATTATGGGCTGCTTAGCGGACAGGAAGCCGGTGGACCTTCATATATTCAGAAACTATGAGAATGCGAGTGAAATTCTCTCAGGTTGGGTGCAGGCGACGCCGACCTGCCCGACTTTCAAACCAATGATATCTTTCAGGAACCAGCTGCTCTGGGAAGCTGCTCGAGCGTCAGGTGCGGCACCTTCTTACTTCAGGTAGGGTTGTTCAATATGGAAAGATGCAGTTCACCAACTTTTTTTTTTTTTTTTCCAGGTGTCATGACAGGTTTGTAGACGGAGGCCTAGTCGCAAACAACCCGACATTAGATGCTATAACGGAATTGCATGAATACAACACAGCACTTAAGGCTGTCGGAAGACACGACGAAGTTGTTGACATCCGCGCCATTGTATCTGTCGGAACAGGTTCAATTCCTTTAGTCAAGGTCCGTCATAATTTTCAATCGGATAATTAAAATTGTAATTGTTAAATTGTAATTTTACATTTAGAAGCAAAGCATGGATATACATAGGCCGTCGGGCTTAATGGACATGACGATGGTCATATCTAGCGTATCGACATTACACGATGTCCTTGTCGACCAAGCAACGCAGACAGACGGGAGGGTCATTGACCGCACAAGAGCCGTATGCTCGATGATGAGCCTCCCTTATTTTCGCTTCTCGCCACAGCTCTCAGAAGACATCGCCATGGACGAGAAGGATGATGTGAAACTCGTCAACATGCTCTGGGAGACAAAGGCGTATATATTGTCGCAGTCAGACTTTGTAAATAAACTAGCGGAGATAATTAACATCTGAACAATTTGTTTAAATTATTTATTTTATCAATTTCACAAAAAAATGTTCCTTAATGATAATATCTGTGAAATATCTACAACCAATTGTGTGTAAAACTTTTTTATTATTATTTTCTTTGATATTCAATGTTGTTTTTTAATTTATAAAAAAATAAATAATAATTCTCTAATGTTGATATTTTTAGGAGTAAAAAAGTAGTGTATATACATTTATTAATGTCATAGCATAATTTTAGAAATAAATTTGTAGATATGCTTAAAATCTGAAAAATTTGTTTGATTTATTTTAGGGGTAAAAATACTACAATTCCAAAGAAATTATTCAAATTGTTCTTTATTTTATTATTACCTTTTCATGTATTTATGTAAGTATTTATATTAGTATAAATAGATTTATAATTTGTTTCAAATAGAATTAAAAGCAACAATGTCTAAAGACCACCTGGAAGCTTTTTTTAAAAACTGAAATATTGACTTTTACTTCCGCATTAAAAATAAATTATAAATTATGTAAATCATGTTAGATTATAGATGTCGCTGCACTAAAAGATTGATCGTTTATTAAATAAAGACCAATTTCTTCTATACTTGTTGAAAGTCGCAAGGGGATTTTAACAGAACTTTTTCTGGTCATACTAGTTAAGACATTTTTCCAAGCGTTCTTACCAATAGGCCCTAGGGGCCGAGAAAAAATTTAAATTAATTAAATATGTATTTCAATGTGATTATATAACAGTATTATATAATATATCATATATATATAATATATGTATATATCAGAATAAATAATTAATATGCAATATTGTATTGGAATGATTTGTCTGTGGGAATAATATAACTAGTCTGCATGGGTATCTCATTTCATTAGCCTTCTTAATCCTACTTCGAATATCTCAACTGCTCACTATGCTGACCCCTTGATTGTAACGATGTTATAGATCATTTTACATTAAATGACTTGAAGTTGTCAGCTTCACATTTAACGTTTAAGCGACAATTACTAGGCGTTGATCAGGTGGACTCCCGAGCCCGCTTATACAGGGTGTATCAACTATAGTCCACCCATTTAATTTGAAAACAACTTTAGCAAAAAATGGTCTTACACAAACCCCAAGTTAATTTTGGCTATGAATCGTGTGATAACAGATTTAACACTCTCTCATCTACCTGGCAAATGACACTTTGTTATTTTAAATAAGAATCCCGTATTTTTATCTCCAGTATTGACTGTCCAAGAATTGGGACAACGCGTTTGTTGTGGCTTGTGAGAAATATGCCCTGAAATAATAGAAAAGGCCACAAATGAATTCCTGAAATGAGCAAAGCTTTGTGTGTCAAATGCAAAACGTATTTGAGCGTATATTATAAATTATAATAATAAATTTCACGTGAAGTCACGATAGCTCAAGTGGTAAGAGCATTGGCGTATTGAGCTGAAGGTTGTGGGTACGAATCTCGCTCATGACATTAAAACTTTTTCATTTCAATTAAGACCGTACGTAAAAAGAACAATAAAATTATTATTTATTTTTTTAAATGTGATCTAGCAACTGCAGAGGTCATAGCCTCTGGGTGTCGCAATGTTTATTTTTTATGTCTGACCACTGGATTCAAACCCGACGTATAAATAAAAAAAATAATGCGACACCCGGAGGGTGCTCTGCTGTTGCTATATCACGTTAAAAAAATGATAATAATTTTATTGTTAAATTAATGAAAACGTACTTATTTTAATGCAAACAAAATTAAACAATATCAGACATTCATGAGTTGTAATAAAAATTAGTTAATTACGATGGGAGCGTCAGTGTCATGGTTATGGTGTTGACACGGCGCCCATCACTGTAAGGTAAACGTCCTGGGTTCAGATTCAGCACTCCTGCATTTGAACGAACATACTTACCCCTCAAAGAAAAAAATCATTTAGTGATAGATTAAAATGTAATTAATTTATTTTACCTCTAAATGATTTTCCACTATTTTGTTGAATTTTCTTTCAAACAATCATAATTAAATAAATTTTATTAAAACTCATGAATTTCTGATCTAGTTTAATTAAGTTTACATTAAAATAGTTATGTTAATTAATGTAACAATAAAAATACATAATACTCAGTTTGAAATATACTACAAAATACGAGTGTCGTTTTTTTAAAACCAGACTGCATCTCACGATCTCTGAATAATCATTGACTAACGCTCACTAAACACCACACATTTTTTTAAAACCTTAAATACAAAAAAACACAAGCACAATGAAGGCAGAAGAACATTTTAAAAAATTACTTTAAATATTTTTTTGTTGTTGCTTATTTTATATTTTAAGTTGCTAGTGCTCATTGGCAAGAATACTCAGAGACGTGTCTAGTATCTTTTGACCTATTATTACCAAACAAACAATTTAATTGAAATCGGCGATAGGACTCCCCTTGTCAAATTTGTGTGTATAAAAACGTATTCTATTATTTGCCTGTTTTCTTTATTAAGGTTGACTGCTTGTCATTGTGAAAATAGATGCCAATCGAAGATAAAAGAAGTCAAAATGTCAAAGCAAAGAGTTAGGCTAAGAAAGCATTTCAGTCTTGATGGCAGTTCAATTAGGGGTTTTTGTTTATTTATTTTATTGAAAATGTTTTAATAATATTGGATGTTTTGCTCAGTAGGCCATGCAGTTGCAGAGGGAAAACGTTTACGAAGCTCTCAAGCCGATTTTTGTTCTAGCGAGCCTCGGAGGCGTGTTTCCTGCTTCTCAGAAGAAAATGTGCAAACCGCTTTTTATTTACTCTTTTTTCCTTACACTCGGATTTTTCGCTTCGAGCATATATTTCTGGTTTTCCATCAAGACGAAATCTGAATACCTCAAACGGATATCTGCTATTAGCCTTATATGTTCTTATTTGGCGATATACCTCTCTGTGTTTTCAGCCGCTGTCAAGGCTAAACTGATATTTTCCTGCGTCGAAGAAATCCACCAAATAGGGCTCAAATTCAAACAGCTCGGTTTCCAAATCAAATACCCGATAAATTACATTTGCTACATAATGGCTAAATACGCAGTCTGTTTTGTTGTGTATTTTTATACGGCTCTTGTTTTTAAGAGAGCAAAGGATAACAAATTCTTCCACTTCGCCACGCTTTATCCAATGTTCATTTTGGACTTGGCTTTCAGGCTGTTTCAGATATTGTTGAAATACATCGAACAGCTTTTCGAAATCCTGACAGTTGTCTTTTACGAGGGCACGCTCTTGGAATCGCACCTTGTCGATGAAACGATCTCTTTGTACCACAGGATACTCGACTGTACGAAAGTCGTGAATGAGTGTTTCAAATTCATCTTGCTTTTTGTCATGGCTCCGCTGTTTTTCAACGCTTCCAACACGATGCTTTCGACCTTCTGGAAATCGATAAGGATCATCAACCAGAAAAGCAGCAGCAGCGTCCACTCTGTAATAGGAACCGCCACACTCACTGCAATTTGGTTCTGGCATCTCTGGGACATCACGAGGCCCGCTCAACTCTGCAGGATAAAGGTGGTGAAGGTGATGTTGAAAATTTTTATAAACATTTTTAAATCGAACCGATTTTTAATTTACAGGCTAAAGCTTTCGTCACTACTGTGTACACTTCAGTTGTAAATGACACAAACCGTTACTTCAAAAATAACGTTAGTATTCTTGATGAATTTGTCACTAAATTACAATTACATAAAATCGATCATCGCATATACTACGCATCTACGATTTGAAATTTATGTTTAATTAATCTTTTTATGTAAGGTTTTTGGATGAAATGAAAAAGTTAGTGCCACGAGCGGGATTCGAACCCACGACCTTTGACTAAATACGCCGCTGCTCTACCATTTGAGCTATCGTGACTTCAATCAACTCGAACACCAACTCCCCATCTCAACCACACCTTTTGAATTTTCCCTCCTTTTTGCCATTTTGTCTCAACTAAAAACCTTTATTAATTGTATGATATTAATTGGGTCAAGTGGACCACGAAACTAGTGAATTTAATAAGTTTAAAATGAAGTATCCTTCACTAAAGCTCTACGTTTCATTTCTCGCCGAGAATCAAATTGATTACACGCCATTTGAAAAATGGCAAAAAGGAAGGAAAATTCGAAAGGTATGGTTGAGATGGGAGGTTGGTGCCCGAGTGGATCGAGGTCACGATAGCTCAAGTGGTAGAGCAGCGGCGTATCAAGCCGAAGATCGAGGGTTCGAATCCCGCTCGTGCCATTGACTTTTTTATCTCAACTAAAAAACCTTAACTAATTGTATGATTATTATAGACACACACATCTTGTCTTTATCCTTAAAGTATGTGTAAATTGTGAGTGGAAGGGTTAGTTTGACTGTATTGGGCATACACTACATTTACATTTTGGTTGATTTTTTTTTCTTTTACATTATGCCTGTATTTTATTCATATGTTGTAGACGGCCATAGTGAATTTCTTCATGCACAAGAGAACGTTGGACATCACGGCCTGCGGACTGTTCCAGCTCGATACCGTCTTCTTCCATTCGGTGAGAAATCCCCCATCCAATTATAATTTCAAAGAAAGCTTAATGTTTTTATTCTGTTTTAGATAATCACCGGGATATTTACGTATGTCATCATACTGATGAACTTAAGCCCCGAAGATGTGTAACACCAGACACCGTGACATCAACGAATTAGCAAAATCAATTGTATATGTTTAGTTAAACTAATATAATAACAAAAAAATTGTACGAGAATGTGGCGATGTAGGGCTGTTGTTTATTTTATAGGCTGTAGTTTCTTATTAAAGTATGTAAAGTCAGGGAGAAGTTTGCAGAGAACTGAGAAGAGAGGTGGCCGAGGGAATATTGTCCTTTAATGGGACGACTTTGCTTCATCATCATGGAACAAAATTAGTAACGTCCTTCTTTTATATTGATACAGATCTTAGCCATTAATGGTGTGGGGAAGCATTTTAAGCTCCGTATTTTTTATTTTTTATTCTTACATGA